CTGAGTTCAGCTGCGCTTATATTTCCTGAGAAGTCTAAGAGTGTTTGGGGTTTGACAGGAAGTGATACTACTCTTTTACCATACTGTAATCAAGAGTATTATCAGATATGGTATTACAGTGTGGTTTGGTAATCTATCAGTTCATTTAAAATCACAAATTACCCGTCTCATCCAAACAGCTTTGAAGGTCATGGGAGTGAATCAGCACCCCTTCCTGCAGACAATCTTTGAAAAATCCATAATCAATCAGGCAGAAAACCATTAGAGGAGATCCTTCCCACATCCTCAATTCTGAATACCAACTTCTTCTTTCTGGCAAATGTTTTACGATTCACAAACACACAAACAGATACAAACATTCCTTTGTTCCACTATCCATTAAAGCTGTCAACGCAAATGACAAGGATAAACACAATTTTTTACCTTTACAATCCACGTGTGTGCAATGTGTTTTGTAATGCGTTATAAATGTTATATGTTGTTATTTGTTATACATGTGCAATAGAGTGATGTGCAATGTGTTTTGGGGTGTGTGCATTCTATTTAAATATACAGGAGTGCTGTGTGTCCACAAAAAAATTCCCTCAGGGGACAATAAATCTTATCTTATATGGCAGTGTTGGTCAGCCTATTACTGGGTGTCACTCCTTGTGACCTGTCTGCTTTAGACAGACCCTGGGAAGGGATAATCAGTCAGTACAAACAAAAAACACACAGCCTCACCCATAAACCCATAACTAATGTATTACAAAACATGACACTGGACAGCAGATGTCTGAACACAAATGGTAAAAAAAGACCATGAAACTCCACTACCCCAACCAAACGGCCAATATGAAACCAGTGTGGAGTTAAGAGAATGAAAGAAGCTGTCCATTGGGAACCAGCTGGAGATGTGCAGACTCCCAGGAGAAACTTGAAAATACAGAACAGGGAGAAAGAAGAATTTATCCACCAAGCAGCTGGTGGTACTGTGAGGGAAGCTGGAATTTATTCATTCGGCTTTTATTTTTGAGAGCAAGCTTTTTTTTTTGAAGGAGGAAAAGAAAATAACAAACATGAAATATGAACAGAAACACAAGGAGTTCATATACGAATACAGAAAGCAAACAAAACAAATGAGCTTAGAAATAAACTAACTAAGTAATAAGCAGGCCGGATCCTGGATGTTTTAGTCCGGGTTTAGTTAAACAGGACTCTCAGGATTAACTCTGTATCTATGCAGAATTAGCCTGCAGCACAATCTGGCCATTATGACCTCCAACCAGAGTTTAAGGATAATTCCCTTGCAGATGTTAACCCATCGATAAAATTGCACATGGTATTAAAACCTATAATGGGTCATCCTTTTGTAGAAATTAACAGAGATCAGGACTTGCAAAACACTGCACACAAGCAACGTCTTTCCAAAATGCTGCAATAACAGAACAGTTTGCAAATATGAAGAACTGTACTGGGTGCCTCAATATTACAAGACACTTCTCGTGCCAAACTGTAGAATCTTCCAGCAGTTTTGCTCTGATCCGTCTCTTATGATCAATATTCAAGAGCTATAGATGAATCTACAAAGCCCTAATCGTTATTACCTTTGTTATGTACAAAGATGTTTCCCAAGAATTGTATTATGAATAACTAGAGAGAGAATAATAAATAAAAAACAGAGTAAAAGATCATTTTGAACACCCACCCAAGTAAACATAGATGTAGTGCTATATCTTATCATTAAGTAAGATCAAGTACCTTATTCATAAAACTATTTTATTTACTGGAGAATTCTATATACAGTATAAAAAATATTATCTTTATTAACACATTTTTCCAATGTGACTTACATTCAGCACAAACAGGTCAAAGGTGAAGAATGAATGCAATTACATTCATTTAAAAAAATGATGGGGAAACCGTCAGATAAAGCCTGTGAAAATGCCAGGAATTCTACACCCTAAAAAAAGGAACAGGCCTCTGGAAAAAGGAATTAAAATGACAATAAAAATAGAGAAGTATGAAAGGCTGCCAGGGGCGGGAAATAGGAAGATCTAACAGTCCTGAAAGGATTGGGATGGTGAGTCCCAATTAGGGGTCAGCAGAGTCAACCAGACAGGGTTGGGATGGTGAGTCCCAGTTAAGAGAGAGCAACATTAGAGGAGGAACATGATCTCTAGCCAGGACGTGAGGGCAGTAGGTTGCTGGAGCAAGATAACATGAAAGTTTGGGCCTCTAGGACATACAGTATGTGATGCGCTCAGGTGAAGCAACATGATTGGATGGCCATCGTATTGACAAGTCATGCCCTGCTCCTGATTGGACGGTGGTAGCTGGCTAACCCAAGAGAGGTAAATGTCGTGACTTCTGAGCCTTAAACAGACTTGGCCAGTCGCTTGTTGGAGTTGGGAGTCCCAAGGAAAGTGTTCTGCTTTCAGCCTGGCAGTTTTAGGGAAAATACGATCCTTTTTCTGCCTCTGCTGCCCCAACGACAGAGCAATCTTGTTTTTACTGTTGGAATATGGTTCATCTCTGATTCGCTTTCAGTTTCTGTCGGCATAAAACCTCCCAGGGGCCTTGTAATTCCTAAACAAGATATCTTAAGTTCAATGCAATACTTTGCAAAGACCACAACATGTCTAACAGTTCCCACAACATAATGGCATTGCATGTCTTGGAGTGGCTTGTGAATGACATAAAGTGTGGCTGCTATTACAAAGGAGGGTGGTAGTTCATAGTCATCCTACAGGTCATTGAGGCTGAGAGTTTTCTCTAGGTCCATCCCTTGTTGGGGAACTCCACAAAATACGTACAAATTTGGTCCTTTGTCAAATTGCACCATATTCACATGGATTTTCCAGCAGAGACCATCCAAACTCCAGAATCATACGATGTCGTTGCACTTGGGAGGACGCCTGACCATGGAGTATAGTGTTTCTGTTTTCACGGGGTGCGCCGTTGAAGCTTGTGGGATGGACTCTGTGGACATCCTCTCTGGTTTCACGGTGTCGTACACAGTGCATATGTCCTGCTCGTGCTCGTCCTGGGCCGACTCTTGTTGATACTGGTGGTTCTGCAAACAAAAGAGACGGCAAGCTGGTTTCTAAAAACTTGGTTACGAATGGGAAGAGGTCAATCTGCCTCGATTTCTCCAATGAATAGTTAACGGTTATTCTGGATACCGGGATGTCGTTCAACCATTTCTTGAAAGAAACCAGGATATCGGCTTCAACAACATGGCTAGAGAGGTTGTTCCAGACACGCACGACCCTTTGGGTAATGAAGTGCTTCCTGTTCTTGGTTTTACATGCGTTTTGTCCTGTATGAATGAAATCTACTGGACAAAGGGATTCTGCTGCAAGAATTTTGTCAATCCGTAGGTAAATGGTATATTAGTAAACATAGTTTGCAGAGCAGAGATGTCATCAGGAAGCACAGATAAAACAAGTAAGATATTAATAATAAGCTAGAAATTTAAATGTTTTAAAACATTGGTGACATTAAAATAGAGGCGACAGTGTTCTGACAGCTCATTTCTTGGTCTACTAGCAAAGTTGTGCCCATTGTGAAAAGTAGGGTGGATTACTGCAAAAGTTGTGGATTTAATATTGTGTCCTGTGCATTGTACTTGATTTTTTAATTTAGTTGTCAGGAAAATGTGGCACTATTCATAAGCAGCAGTGTTAAAAATGCATTTTTCTTCAACAATGAATAGAGACAAAAAGTAAAACTTTTTCAACAAATGACATCTTCGTTGACACATACCTGTTGCTCGCCGGAGTTCCCCATGTTTGGAGCAATGAAGTACTTTTCATCTGCGCAAGAAAGGAACCAGACATCAGAGGTAGTACAGTACGACATAACAAACTATATATTAATTAAAAAATAGCTAAATATGCACAGATGACAGATGTTTGGAAATTAAATATGGAACCATGACATAAGTAAGAGTGATTGATAGCTACAAGCTTTAGTTGTAGTCCATGAATTCCATGAATTGGATGCACTCTAATTCAGATCCTTTTACTGAATTCACAATATATAAGAAGCGCTACTGTTCAACATTTCCCAAACCAATGAGCCAGCGTATTTTCAAGCAGTCTTGCAGCTCGGATGTCAACGCATTTGTCCTGGTGTTGAGAATTGCAGCATGTTTCAGTTCTGAAATAATTATATAATAAGACGTACCCGTTTTTTTCGCTTTCAAATGGATCTTCACAAAGGCGCAGAGAAGAGCGAGCAAACAAACTGTCGCACAAATTGCAGCGATGAGGATGATGATTAATGTAAAAATCATCTTGTTCCCTGTGTCGCCTATCAGAAAAGGAGAAGGAACAGATAAGTGAATGGAACAAATAAGGACATATGCTTCAGCATGTTCAGGAAATATAGCCAATATATTTTCCCTTTATCATCACATAGATCCACATTTTGATATCCCTTATAACCCCGCCTGCCAGCTAATTGTGATTTTCAATTTTGAATCCTCTTAAACCCAACTTTCTGACCATGAGTATCATCAACCTTAGTCGCCAAACATACTCTTTACTTTTTAGGAATTTTTACGTACACAATTTACGAACACAAATTTCTGCCCATCTTTAAATTTATGTTTTTTTCGTGAACAAATAACCTTGCATTTCACCACTGCCCATCCCTGGTTCTGGAGGGCCAAAGTGCTTCTGGGGTTTTACTGCAGCTCTTAACACACAAAAGGAGCTGTTTGCTGGCTTAACTGGACCCATTCAACAGCTTTTCCCATTGTTCACCTCCCTCTGGGACCAGGACAGCACGTCCATGTTTTTGTTTATTTGGTCATGTCTGAAGAACCGGTGTGCGAGGAATAATGACGCTCAATGATCAGACGTTTTGAGAATGTTGATTGAATATTTAGGTATAATAAGTTTTAGCTTAGTCCACTTGGTTAAGAGTAGCCTCCTGGCCATAGAATAAGGAGGTTTAACCCCCCGTTCAGAGAGAGAGAACCAAGTTACCAAGGGGTCTCTGCAAAGGTGAAGATAGGGTGCAGACTGAATGAATGTGAAAAAAATGAGAGAAGAGCTGTGTGCAAGAGCTCCATATATAGCGAAAGTTGGTAATGATTGTGATTTAAAACAATCATTGTTTCATGGCTAACCCTGTGCTCTGACCCCAAGCTTCTCTCCCTGTCTGTGTGTCTCATGGAGAGCAAGCTGGGGCATGCGAAAAGACAAATTCCTAATGCACAAAATGGTATAGGGCTAATAAAGTGATCTTAATCATCCAGTTGTGCTTAGATTGACTCAACCCTGCACCAACAGTAAAACTCTGCTGCTACATACTATAGATCACAATGTCTCCCTCTTGTGGTGCCGTTTTGCACTACATTCAAATATTCAGGCAGATGGTGACCTGTGTCTAATTTCTCCAGCGTAAACGTTTCATCAGTAAAACAGCTATCTGTCGAAGTTGAGAATCGTTCTCACTTTTGTCTTGGGATGTCTTTTATTTCCTTACAGCTCCTAATCTGTCAGCCATCAGGAAAAGTTTCACAGCCGCAGATCAGGAAACTTCAAAACATTCAATTGCTGTAAGAATACACATGAAGTTTTTAGGAGCTGTGCTCACCTTTTTAATTTTCGTTCAGCAGTCGCTGTCTGAGTGGGTTTGGTTTATGGCTTATGTTCTCACAACACTGAGAATTTTCTTTCTTTCCTAATAGCTTGTGGGGAAGGCCCTCTGGTTAACACATTCAAGTTCTCTGAAGAAACGTCTGCAACACTTACACAAAACCCCCCGACAAGTGGGTGATAAGTCAGAAAACGAGAAATACTCAAACTGAAAATCTGAAACAGTGTCTAAAGATCCTTCATGATTTAACTACTCTTACTCTGGGTCTGGGGTAGAATATTACAGAAAGATGAACATGTCCAGTAATGATTTGTTTCTATTCTGTACCTTCTTTCATAACAGAACAGCTGAGAGTGCTTTGCATTCAGAAGAATTTGTACAGTAACTAAATGACAGATACAAAACTATGCTTAACAATTCATATATGGGGAATCGGAGAGGCAAGAACAAACTGGGCAGCCTGGTGAAAACATGTCAGAAGGTCACTGGTGCTGATCTTCCACCCCTCTTCTCCATCTGTCATCCACATGTTTTACATAAAGCAAAATCCATCTGACGATCCTTCACAGCCCTTGTTTAATATCTTCCAGTTACTCCCACTAGAACACAGATAGCGACTCCCCAACTCCAAAACCAACAGACTCAAGTTCTCATTCATACCTGTAGCCATATCGCTACTTAACACTTGACCTTCTGTGTAAATACTGTATGTATGGATATCGTTGTTCCTGTCGTTTATTTTTCTCTCCGTCTGTACACCAACACTGCTGCTGTAAAACAACTGCCCCCCCCCGGGGATAATAAAGACACTCTCTCTCAAATCTACAATGACAAATTATTAATGGGGACACAAGTAATTTTACTACCAAACGAACTGCCTAAACACTTCAATAGCTATTAATAATAATTAATAATTGCTTACACTTATATAGCGCTTTTCTGGACACTCCACTCAAAGTGCTTTACAGGTAATGGGGATCCTCTCCACCACCACCAGTGTGCAGCCCCACCTGGATGATGCGACAGCAGCCATAGTCCGCCAGAACGCTCCCCACACATCACCCCACACCTGGATGATGCTCCAGTACTCACGCCACACACCAGTACTCTCACCACACACCAGCTCTTGGTGAGAAGGAGAGCAGAGTGATGAAACCAGTTCAGAGAGGGGGATTATTAAGAGGCCATGATTGGTGAGGGCCAATGGGAAATTTGGCCAGGACGCCAGGGTTACACCCCTAGTCTTTTCAAGAAACGCACTGGGATTTTTAATAACTACAGAGAGTCAGGACCTCGGTCTCATTCAAAGGACGGCATTTTTTTTTTACAGTATAGTGTCCCCCTCACTTTACTGGGGCACTAGAGCCCACACAGACTGCAGGGTGAGCACCCCCTGCTGGTCCCACTAACACCTCTTCCAGCGACAACCTTAGTTTTTCCCAGGAGTCTCCCATCCAGGTACTGGCCAGGCTCACACCTGCTGAGCTTCAGTGGGTTGTCAGTTGTGAGTTGCAAGTTGCAGGGTGATATGTCCGCTAGCTATTGATGGCATATAACTACTTTTGTTATATCTAGTGATGTCCATCTTTTTTTTAAGCACTTTATGTATTAATGGGTCGGAGGGGAGCTGGAGCTTATTCCTGCCAGCAGCTGGAACAGAGCATGATACACCTGGGAGAAGACACTAGTCCATCACTGGGTACAGAGTGAAACACAGACACACACACTCATACCAGGGCCAGTTTTCACATAAGCCAACTTACGCACCAGCATGTCTTTGGGTGTAGGAAACCTACCTTATTTACTGTTTTTATACTTAAATCGAAAAAATTGAAGTACTGTAAGATGTTTTTTTGTAAGAAGTTTTTTATAAGGGTATTGGGGTACAATTGGATTTTACACGCTACTCAAAATCCCTGTTCCTTGTGTAAATTGAGCTGGAGCCTATCCCAGCAGGCAACAGGCACAAGACAGGGTACACTCTGGACAGGACACCAGTCCATTGCAGGGTACACACAGATACGAACACACACAGCAGTGTCAAACTTTCTAGAAACCTATTAACCAGCAAGTATGTCTTGAGACAGTGGGAGGAAACCGGAAACACAGGGAGCATATTGTCATATTTCTAATTCTAAACCAACCTTGGAAGCAATGAAGATTTCCTAATACAAGATGTAGTGCTCTTGCACTCTGTAGCGAACTGTGGCAGCTGCGGGTTTCTCACACTTACCCTTTGCCGAAGGCTGACAGATGTTTTTCACGAGGGCAGATGTGGACTGGGAGCTGGCTTGGTTGCTAATGTTGCACACAACTGCGCTGTGGTTCTGGCTGACGGACAGGATCATCTCCGTGCCGTGGCTGCCTGACTTCTGCTTGATGGTCCAGTTGCAGGAAGGAAGGTCTGATCCCAGCTGGCAGTCAAATGTTGCATAAGTATATTGATGTGTAGAGCAGTTGATGTGAAAGTGACAGGTGTCGTTTTCAAAGGATCGGTCCACTACCACCAACTCTGGGATGGACAGTACCTCTGAAAATAAAGCAGAGCAGTGAGGGAAGAAAGTATTTGTACTGTGAATAGCACAGGTTTTCCTGAATAGCCTACAGACGGTTCTGCCTCGTGCAGTGAAATGCCTAGTACATTTAAGCCTGACCTCATTAGAGACATTTCAAAGACTGCTACGTGAAATCCCACGAGTGGATTTCCAAATGTCCTAATCCCTTTTTTATACAGAGAGCGAAAAAACTGAATTACCTATACCTGAGACACAAATTGGTTATGCTGCCGGATTTATGCTGGTTCGTATAGATTTTGGGCAAAACTCAGCAGAGGGGCAGAGGTGGCACCAGGGTTTCATCATGAAGGAAAGAACCTGACAATCACAGATCACACGGCTGGTCACGATTACAGAGAGGGAAACCAACTTCCCCTGTCAGACTGTAAGCAAGACCACGGGTTTCCTCAGGCCCAGATCGTAGCCTCTGAGGAGCTGCACAAGAGCATAAGAAACATCACAAACAAGAGGACGCCATTCGGATCATCTAGCCCGTTTGCTCTTTAGCAGCTCATGGATCTGAGGATCTCACCCAGCCAATTCTGGCTGAATCTGGGATGTCAGCTTCAAGAAAATAGCTGAGTAACGTGTTCCTCATTCCCGTCATCTGAAGAAGTGTCTTCTGTTCTGGGTTTTAAGTGTACTTCCCCATAGCTCAGGCTTGTGTCCTCTGGTTCACACTTTGTTGTTGATTCTGAAGAAGTTCACTGGTACTACCCAATGACTACAGTAGAAACTAGCTAGTCAAGCAAAGGGTGCTTCTAATTGAATAAGAGATTTGCTGAATGAGTCATCCATTCAAAATTAGCTTGCTGGGTAAAACTATGTCTTATATACAATGTGGGCAGCTGCACCACCATGCGTAGGCTGCAAAGGAACAGGTAAAGGTTTATTCCGTGCTGAAAAGAGAAGAAAACAAACACAATGTTTTGGCTGTGGAGCCTTCTTCAGGGGTCGAAACATTTTGTTTCCTTTCTTTTGTTCCTAATATACAATGTGCATACCATAGAATGAACTTTACTAAAAAAGCCCAGGATCCAGGAGGACTGACAGAAGTCAAATTAAGTTCTCCCCCAGCTGTCCTAAATTGTAAACATTCCTGACCTTACTTCCTAAATGTTAAACAAATTAAGCCTTTTCTCCTGCACATGTGTCTTCTGCTGCCCTTCTCCAGCCCATCTCCACCTGTACATCTGCCCCCTGGTCCCTCCTCTCTCTGCAGGGGCATCCCAACCCTCTCCTCCACAGCCAGGGGGAGCTCAGCCAAAACAGATTAAACCAAATATATTGCGACTGAACACTCAACAGACATCTTTCAATACATCTAATTTTGTGTGTTGTTATTCTTTGTGACATGGAGTCTTACCCCAGAGAGCTTTGGTTTTCATACATATAGTTGAATTTTAATAATAATTGCTTACACTTATACAGCACTTTTCTGGACACTCCACTCACAGTGCTTTAGAGGTAATGGGGATCCCCTCCACCACCACCAGTGTGCAGCCCCACCTGGATGATGCTCCAGTACTCTCACCACAAACCAGCTCTTAGTGGGGAGGAGAACAGAGTGATGAAGCCAGTTCAGAGAGAGGGATTATTAGGAGGCCATGTCTGGTAAAGACCCCTTTACACCCCTACTCTTTTTGAGAAACGCCCTGGGATTTTTAATGACCACAGAGAGTCAGGACTTCGGTTTTACATCTCGTTCAAAGGACGGCATCTTATTTCTTTCAACTTTATAGTGTCCCCATCACTATACTGGGGCATTAGGACCCACACAGACCGCAGGGTCCTTCTAACACCTCTTCCAGCAGCAATCTTAGCTTTCCCAGGAGGTCTCTAATCCAGGTACTGACCAGGCTCACACCTGCTGAGTTTCAGTGGGGCTGCCAGCTGAGAGCTGCAGGGTGATATGGCTGCTGGCATTTTAAATCATGGTTCCTTGGGAATAACAATACCCAACAACTATGGAGTGTTTTAGTCGATAAAATTTGTCTTAACACGCTTGGCTGAGGGCTAACCTCCTGTCCAGAGCACAAGGAGGCTGGGACCCCCCTGCAGAGGGAGGGAGGGGTGACCAAGGAGCAGCTGCAGAGGTGGAGAGGGAGTGGAGCTGGGATGCAAAAAGTCTTATTCGAGGGAGAAAAGGGGGTAACGCCCAGTATTTTGTATGTCGTAGGTGAGGTAATGACATAAAGAGTGTGTCACGGATGTCAGAAAGGACGAACCGTAGAATGGCAGGAGAGCGAAAAGACCCCATGCGTAGCTGCGAGATGGGGGTTAGCCTGAGGTCAGCTGTTCAGGAAATGCCGTATAGAAACTTATGCCCTCAGGTAGCGGACGTAGGGTGACCTGGTGCTAGGCGGGTTTCAGGACATCCGAACGTCAATGCTGAGTGAAGGCAGAATGAAAGACCCAGAAATATATAGCCCCAGAGAGAGAGAAACACTGGAAAGACAGCAAAGCACCAGAAACAAGAGACAGGACAGAGAAGGAGCGCCCTCTGGCTGCAGAGGGTGTGACAGAGTGATTGCGAATTATTGACAGCCAAGTCTGTTGTCATCCCTCCCGAGCTTTCGTTACGTGAGTCCTGTGACGTGATTTAACCGTGATCACATGATTCATGGAAATGGTTGAATGGTCACGTGGCATGGCCAGCGTGGTCTGTTACAATTAAAAGCACACGCATTACGAGATTTCCAAAGTATTCTTGCCTGTTGAAAGAGACATTCAAATTCCGTGTTCCTGAGGGTGTTAAGTGTGTCTTAAACGTTGAGTGTAGGTGATATAATCTTAGTGTAATGATTGCATTCATACAGGAATCTGCCGTCCTTATTTCCCTTTAAGATAAGCTGCCTGTTGCACGTTCGATGAATCGGAGTGGTGTGCTTGCAGCGTCTTTGTTAAAACTCTTCTGTGTGCAGTCTTCTGCAAAAACTGGATCTCACACAGTGAGTTCTGTCTAGGGCAATTCTACACCTGCATGTTTGTTTGTTTTTTTGTCACATTCTTGTGCTTATTTCTCTGTACATGGTTAAATGCACTAAACTAACCTAGCTGAGACCGGAAAGGTGCTAAATGCAGAGAACAAAAAGCTCAGCACAAAATGTGACCATAGTGTGAAAACACATCAGATTTGTTTTTTGTTTTTTCTGTGGGGGGGTGAGATGGTGACCCCTCAATAACGAGGTGCAAAGCCTGAGGCCTGAGCTGATTCTCTCTCTTAGAAAGAAGCATTGACTCAAGTCTGTATCAGGGAGAGTGAAGAAAATAAGAAGAAAAAGCCACACCCATTTAAATCTGTTACACTAGCTTGGAGCTTCTCGTCCTGATGCCTGTCTGTGTGCCAGTTCATTTTGAAATTGTGGCCAGTTTCATGCTACAAAGATTTTGGAATTAATTGTGAAGGTAGATTAAGAGACATTGTAATGACTAAATACTAAGTCCCTAATTTATTTGTCAGACATTGGTTTAACGTAGTGTAGGTGGAGATACTGTATATACGTCTACTTACCAAGGACTGATACGTGATAGATGCTGAGTTTGTGTTTTTTGCCACTTGTATCACTCAATAAAGCTGTGTAAGTCCCAGCATTTCCATGACTCAGGTTCGTTAACCTAAGGGAAAAATCTGTCTCATCAAAAACCACTTGATTCTTGTGCCGGAACCACTTGACGTTGCTGCTTCCATTAAGCTTTCTCAGTATGATAACTTCTTCTTTTTCTCTCACCAAATTCCACTCCAATGTCTCCATCTCTAAGTGCACTGGTACGTTTACAGTCAGGTGCAGAGAACCACCCTGCATCGCCGAGACATTCTTGGCATGGTTGTTTTCTTCAGTCCTGACACCTAGGAAAGGAAGTGGGATTTGAATAAATGACATTATCTTGAACAACAGCTGTTTACACAAAAATCCCTGTATCTTTAGCAGGCCGGCACAGTAACTCCTAATGGTGTTTTAAAGCTCCTCTTAGCCATCACGATGTGCTGTTTGTCTCCAAACTCTTCCAGACTCCCCGATATTGTTCCAGTCAGGCCTTGCTTCTTCCCAAACAGAACAGTAAATTCCATCTTTCAAATCAACATCCCGCATTTATGAAAACATTTTACTCTGAGAGCGACCAAGCCTACATCTCCATCAACTTTGTTGCAGTGTATTGCTATACTCGTGTACAGTACCAGCCTGCTGGCACACAACACTGCACACACGTCTGTTTGTTACATGGCGTGTTAGCCGGGGGTTGAGCTGAGATGAGATAAAGGTGTGCTTTTGAAGGAAGGCTTTTATATTGATCTTTCTGGTGGAGCTTTTTAGTGCTAAACACTGCAATTGGGCATTTTAATTATTAAACACATTTACAAATGGAATCTAATTAGAAGGAGAAATAAAAATGGACAATGCAAAACGTGCTCTGAACAATCTGAACTCATGGCAAGACTTACAAGTGGGCATGTTAAAGGGTCAGACCCATTTCAAAGGGGTCAGGCCCACTTGTGAGGTGCTCATTATTGTTTTTCTCCTTATTGGTTAACCTGGGAGAGCCATATAGTAGATTACCTCCAGCATGGGCCAGTGTGACCACATTTCCTCTCTGACAGACTGAACGCTGCACTCATGGGTCTCACATCCCACGATATGTTTTCACCAAGCAAATTAGAGATGTCCCTTTCTACAAGAATCTTCTAATGGAAGATCTAATGAACCTTCGTTTGATTCTGCCAAAGCTCTTACTTACTGTACCTAACTGATGATAAATCTACGAAAAACCCAGACCTGTCTGAAGTGAAGCCAGATATACAGAATGACAGAAAGATGAAGTTCTAGGATGGGATTTACAATCCCTGCTGTGTGTTGTTGTGTGAGCCAACTTATTACATTGGTGCTAAATGTATAAACACTGATACTTGTGCAGGAGTTTGAGAAAAACGGAAGTTCTGGTGTGTTTGTCACAGATGTTGTGGTTTCCTGTTTTTCAAGTTCCAGTTCATAAGGTACATTCGTTCCTCTGAAATTTCTGTCCTACTCTTTCTCAGTTTCCATTGGTATTTTTTTAACTTTTACCTGGAGAGTGTGCATCTTAAAGACAGGATCATTTCGTGAATCAATGTTTCCTGTGGGGATGGCAGGGGTGGTGTTAAATGTCCTATTTTTATGTCAAGTTTTTTAGTTGCTTTTTAAATTCCCGAAATTGGTTTTGCGGGGGCCCTGGGTTCAATTCTGGACTTGGGGTGTTGTCTCTTATGGTGGTTGAATGCTCTCCCCATGTTTCGTGGGTTTGCTCTGGGTGCTTCGGTTTCCTCCTGCTGTCTAATGACATGCTGGTAGATTAATTGGCTTCTGGGAAGACTGTCCCTGGTGTGAGTGTGTGTGTCTCTGTTTGTGTCTGTCTGCCCTTCAATGAACTGGCATCCAAACCAGGTTGTACCCATCTTGCATTGGTTTGCTTGCCAGCTCCTACAAGACCCCAAACTGGACGAGGCTATTAGGAGAATGATGGATGGAAGTTTTCTTGTTTTTTTTTTATCGGCGATGATGGCAGATGCTCATAATCTTTGCATTGAGGGTTAATGATTGTACATCACTCATTTTCTAAGTCCCTGGATTGTTTTCATCATATTACAGTTGGATGGTAAAAATGATGCACTTGAGATCATCTGGGGTAGTAGATGTTTAAATCCACTTCTAGACAAGGAGATGACTCAGTCCAAAATAATAAACTATTTTAGAAGGAGCCTTTCGATGACATCTAAGCCCCGGACATTAAAATACAAAACAAGTCAGAAAACCTAAAATAATAGTGATACAAAAAGGGAAAAGATCATCATCATCATCATCAGAAAAATCAAGAATGTTTCAGGTTTCGTCTTGTCGTGTGAGTGAGTGAGAAGCGACTTTAAGAGCAAGACATGCAGGGGAATAGCCAGTAATTAAGCACACCTGAGCTAATTGAATACTTGGCAGATTAATTCCGCAGACAGGACAGGCCCTGAGTGGAACTGCAGTCCCTCTGGTCAATCAAATATTCGCCAATCAAATGTTGGAGAGATTTAAGTTTGCCCATGCGTCTCAAAGCACACATTGACAATATTTTTTCTTTCATTTGCGGAACAAATTAATCCAAAGACCATCTACAATGACTGATTTTGATGCCATGAAAAACAATGTAAGACTGTATGTCAAGCTCCTCAATTTGTCAATGATGTAAATGCAAAACAAGGTATATAGATGGGTGACTTATAACATGGTTTTATATATATAAAAACTAAACTATGACTGAAATACTTATATGTCGATAAATGTGTTACGACTCGTACCTTTTCTCCTAAGTGCCCTGGCATTCCCACGCATACTAAACTCCACACACGCTCATCCAGGAACTAATTATCCAACCACATCTCTCTCTCTTCAATATTTAAACACTCTTCACCAGCTTACCTACGCTCACTGTTGAGAAGTCTTCCACAGCTTTCTCTTGTGCGCGCTACTTTTCTCAACCTAGTTCCCCTACTGTACTTTCGACTTCACTCTTGCCTAATGACTTGGATTTGGAATATTGGATATACGTTTGCTCGAACTCCCTCCATCACGGCTTCGCACAGGGGTCCAACAACTCACCACTTTCAGAAACCCTGACAAAATAGAGCTTTAAAATAGACACTTTGGAGGATTAGGGCTTAATTTCTAGGACTTCCAATGTATAAATAACACGCTGCTTGATGACTGACCTGCATCACCTGCCTCTACCCAATTTTTACCCTTGCAGCAGCTCCCTGGCTCATTCCTCATTTAAGAGAGGGGAATCTGAAACCCCTCTGCTTACAGACAGATTTTCATTCTACTTTGCCAGGTGGTTCACTCTCAATAAAGCTCCCTATTCGATTTGTGCATTTTCTCCACCTCCATTAGGCTTTGACTGAACTACTGAAGTAATTCACTCTTGAGATGGTACTACAAAATCTTACACTTTTAATAGTTTAGATGAGTTTGAGAAAGGTTGATGATTCCAAAGCAGATCAGAGCCCAGATTAAGCTGTTTGAAAATGGGGTTTGACCACAGCATTTTTAATGCTGCTGTGAATCATAATGACCTACAGTATCATTGTCACTTTGCTGACATAGACAGCTTTGAGAATTTATAGCAGCACATAGTTAACATGCAGGGATGGGGCTACAGGAGCAGATTCTAGCCTTCAGTTCAGTTAACATCTCAGATAAAAGTAAGTGGATCAATTTACCAAACACCTGAGAACAATGGCACTGACGTTTCAGGGAGAATATGAGACAAAGCAGTAGTAATATATGAAGATTTGATCCTGACACTGTCTTTCCCAGTTTGAGACAAACCAGAAATGATTTACATTGACTGGAACAGAGGTGATGTCAACGTTTTCAGGCTGACAGTAAAATGGTGAAATCTGGAGAAGAAAAACCTTTTCTTGAGACTTTCCTCAGTCAGACTGAAACATTAGGGATATTTGTGAAGAACTTTCCCCTTACTGATTTCATGGCTTAATTATACTGTACTCTCCAGAGTAGTGAACAGCTGGCTCCATTCTGTATATAATTTTGAAGGCTACCGGAACGCTACAAAACTTAATCGTCTTGTTACAAATAGGGGTGACAAAAATAGAGAAATATCAGGAATGACCAAACCAACAAATCAAGAAGCAAATTAAATAATCATCACCCTCAGCTTTTAAAGATTTCTCCCAAGGATATACCCAAGCAGTTAGTATCGTTAGAGGCACCTGAATTCTTATTTCTCTGGTCCAGCTTTGGAAAAATGAGTAATAATTCAGGCACACTGGGTTAAACAAATATTTATTAATAGTGATAATATACACTAAACAACCACAACACACCCTATGTACCAACTTTTAAATAAGGCATCCCAGAGAACTAACGTCCTATTCCCCCCAGACTGTTACCGAGTACTCAGACTCTATATATGATGCATACAAAGGCCAAAATGACTCTCCAGTCATTGTTTACACGTCTGTATTGTTCTCCAGTCTTTGTTTACACGTCTGTATTGTTCTCCAGTCATTGTTAACACGTCTGTATTGTTTACTTTCAAACTGTCTACATGTTTACTTGCACATTGTCTATTTATGTTTGTATATTGTCTTGATGCACTGTTTGCACTTTGTTTTGTTTTTTACACTTCCTGGACTGTTGATCAACACTTAATCGTTTAGCCATAAGTTAATTTGCTAAGGTAAACCAAGAAAAACGTCACGATTGCTTTCATCACTGGATCTGAAACCCCTACTCCTCAGTATGCATGGCCTTGCTTTGAAGCTGGAAATGTTGACACTAGCTAGGTGTTACATATTGTATCTACATTTACTTCATAACAATTTCTTCCAAAGAGTAAATCATACAGCAAAGCAGACGATCCAAGTTATCTGAACGAACACATCTGTTTTTGAATTGTAACAGCATACTTTTAGTATTGACTGGGAGCATCTATATTTCCAAATCTGAAAGGCTGTCAATGTCAGAAACTTACAGGTTTGTCAATATCAAGCCATGGTTCCTGATTAGATCTGAACTTGACATTAAATCTTTTATTGAGATCCATATTAAAGTGTGTTGCTTTTTCACATGATAATGCAACTTAATAAAGACGGTTGCCAGTCCTTGTGTCATGTACGGCTGACACATACATTAAATGTTATAGTTTACTCAGTTCAATGGAGTCAAAGTTTCCTGTATTTGTTGTGAATGGAGTCATCCTATCTGAAGGGGAAATATGAGACATCTGAGTTGTAGTTCTTCTGCACACTCACCTTTCTCCACAGGTGGATGCGAAGGATTATGAGGGTGTTGCGAAAAAAAATACCCAACAAGGTTTCATATTATCGATCATGAGTCACCTTGTGGGTTTAAATACGTTCAGCCTCTCTGAAGCCTGTCTAATGACTCCACTCTCCTCATGATTCATGAGCTCTCCTGTTGTTGATGAGGCTAAGGATCAGCTAACAGGTGGCTAGACTTGTGCAAGCACGGCCAGTACCTGTATTCTACAACTATCACATTGGCCAGTCCCTGTGCTCTACATCTTGTACATGAGCCAATCCCTGTGCTCTACAGCTGTCACATCTTGTTCATGGGCCAATCCATGTGTTCTACTAATGTCATATGGGCCAAACCCAACATTATATTACAGTCACGTGGGCCACTCCCTGCATTCCTCAGCTGTCACATGGGCCACTCCCTGCATGCCTCAGCTGTCACATGGGCCAATCCCTGCATTTCTCAGCTGTCACATGGGCCAGTCCCAGCATGCTACAATTGGCATCTGCTGGCCCAGTTGCATCAGGCCATTTATCACAAATGTTGTTCCTTGATCAAGACATGACCTTGCTGAGCAATAATGCCAGGCCATTGTCTTGCCAGTCACACCCATGAGAGTGTATGGAGTGACCGATCAAAAACCCCCGCTCCCCAGTCCCTTAAGGAAGGCTTCAGCAGCCGATGGTGACATACAGTAGTAACGTCTTGGTGGAGCTTGACACTAATTCCCCAAGAATCCCCCTCCTGGGAGCAGGAACGGGGCTCAGCTATCAGTACGTCCTGCTGGGGCCAGCACCGACCGGATTGGACAAGGGGACGTACTTCCTGCTGTGGCTACTGCTGTCCCTCACCAAACAAGGACTGTGGAACGCGAGGAACACTCTCATCCGGCACAACACAGAGTGGGGAGCGAGGGAGCTGGGGGAGAGGATCCTGGCGGACCTCAGAGGAAGGATGAAGCACGACGTCGCCAAATGGGGTTTCTCCAGGGCGAGGGAGCGCTGGAGAGGACTGTGGGCCCTGTACAGGGACTGGTGGACAAAAGCAAGTGGTAGGGCCTGGAGGGACTTTTTAAGTGTGCAAATCCAGCCCTACCGTCCACATGCACGGATTGATACCGCCGCCGGAAAGTTGTTATTGCATGCGAAGTTTACCAATTTTGTGAGAATGTTTCTTTTGTGAGATGTTGTTATGGAAATAAAGTATATTTTGATTAAAATAAATAATAATTCCCCAAGATGCTGTTGGGCCACATGCCTGGTTTGGATCCCATGTGGAAAAGGAATGAGGACCTATACTATTGCTAAATGAGAAAAAGCAACGTGTGTATCATTGCCTGCGTAAATACAAGCATGATCAATGGCAGCTCTTGTGACCCGCCTGATTTCGCAGGCAGATTGCACCAGTGACCACCATACTTATCGCCTGAAACCCTCCTCCCTGTTAACCGACCAAAGGAAGAGCCCAGCTGTCACATGCAGATCACCAGATCTCTCGAGCTTTATCTGTTTACAGTACAGGCATGACCGTGTGTGTGTGTCTCTGTGTGTTGAGGGTGGGCAACAACAGGAAAACGAGGTATTAAAACAAGGTATAGATTTATTCTAGATGGTGCAAAAAATAGCGAAGTTGGTCTACAATAGCACCTCCCCTCCACCCCACCCCCCGCCAGGCCACCAGTACGTGAGAACCCAGTCTGTATTTCTTACTATATCTTTCTTACGAGTTGATTTCATTTAAATCTTTTAAGTCTAGAACTGTTTGATCACTTCCTTGAAATGTCTTTAGATGTTAAATTTAAAAAAAAATTTGTTTGCGTATACAGTATGTCTCTGCATGGGTGAGTCCATGTCATTTCTGGTAATATATGTTCTTTCTCCCCTACAGTCACGATTAAAAAAACTACACAACCCCCCAAGAGAAAACTACCAGAGAACTGACTAAACTTGGAGCATGAGCCACCTTAATTACAACAACACACTATGACTAGCAGGAACACTGGTTGTCAACCCAGATGCTGTTAATTAGATTGATATACGGTACTGCAGCACAGGCTGTGATTGAATGCTTTTTATGTGTTAACCATACTTTTACAGCTAGAAGAGTCGGCTGTGGCCTGCTAAAAAACTGCCTTCTTGAATGTTTCAGAGAGGTAGACAGTTACTTTCTTGTGTCATTGTGAAATCTCCCCAGTCTCTTACTTATAACTGTGTACAAACATCCTTCTTTTTTATAATGATAATAACACACTTAATTTTATATAGCACCTTTAAAGTTGGCTTCTCAAAACGCTTTACAGAATGACAACAACAATAAATAAGAAGACTACACAAGATAAAACGCAATTACAAAGGAGACCGTGGATGGTGGTACAAAGAAAAGCAGAGGGGTGAAGAATGGAACCAGTTAAGTAAAGGCTCTTTTAAAGAAGAGGGTTTTGAGTCTGGATTTGAAGGAGTTTAGAGAAGGTGACTCCCCGCTTTCCTTGGGCAGAGAGTTCCAGAGCTTGGGGGCATAACAGGAGAAGGCCCTGTCGCCCACAGAGTGTAGACGGGCTTGGGGGAGAGTTAGACCAGAATCAGACATTTTTGGCATTGTATTAATTATTTCAGATTGCAGTGATAGCAGATTCTTGTACAAAGTCTGGATGTAATTGTAGTTATTTTAAAAAGCTTCCTGGAAAGATCTAAGATCTAAGCAGATTTGGAACTGTTAGAGAAATGTAGTTTTCCCCCACATGTTTCTTCTTGTTATTTAGAAAGTCATATCTATTGTAAATCTTCATTTAGCATAACCCAACAGAACATTCATTTTAAGTAACTAACTTTCATTTGTTTTTCACACAGTCTATTCAGTCAGTTGAAATAGTCTGCCCAGGATCAGTTTTCAAGCTATATATTCTTTGATGTTTTTTCTTTTAAAAAATCTAACATTTTAACTAATTATTTTGATGTCAAAGCCCATGTCTGTACGATAATCATTTTTAAATCAGATTGGACACATTTTATTACATTGTCAAAACTGAATGCCAAGGATATACTAGGATATATGGTTATATAGGATCACCCCTACTAACTATACAGACGAAGAGGTACAGTGGTTACTTAAATATGAATGAATACACTAGCACTATATTAATATTTTTTTGTCTCTGCTGAAGACTGTTCTTCATATTTTTAATTATTTCAAAGTGGTTTTGTTGAGTGAAATGGGATCCCAATGTACGGAAAGAACTGTTAATCCATTTTAATCTGTTTAAAGCGTGCACGACAAAACTTCATTCTGACGTTCATTTTGAAGTTTTGCAGCGGTCAACTTTTAACGATCATCTACAGTATGTGCAGCCGAATGGCTGGACTGGTTCAGTTGCGTTGGCAACAATATCCATGCCAGAGTGACAAGTCAACAGAACAACTCCAGTTTTTAACCTAATAAACGTACTCTTCAAGTCACGAAAGAACTAAACGCACCGAAAACAGGCGTCGTCAGCCTCGGCGAGCTCAGAGGAAAAAGGAAAGGACGATTTAAACATGACATTTAAACGGCTGTCTTGCGGATAACATTAAAATGGTACGTACCTGGTAGGAGAAAAGCCAACGGGAACAGTGCCAGAGTAAGGAAATGCGCGTTCATGTTGAAGCGATGTTTTTTAAACTTTTGCACTATACAGTATGCGTCGGTACACAAGCGCAGCACCCTTCTGAATGTTTAAGTGAGACCCCAAATCATATCTGCAATTTGCATGATCTTGAACTCTACAATACACAGCGACGCCTCCTTCCTTCTCTTCATTTTTTTAACCCATCCACTGATTTCAGAATCCTCCTTTCGTCTCACGCTGTTTATCTTCTCACTTCCTTTGGTGACCTGTTGTAGTTGGGGAAATTTTAAAAGCTCCTTTCATTTTTAGTATTGATACTGTATTCCCAGTATTCTACTCATCTATAGTATGATTTATACCCAGAAAGACTCTTTTAACATACTGTTGGCTATTCATATTTAAGACGTTGCGGATACACATTCTGTTTCTCCTGTCATATTATTTCTGTCTTTGCCCATGAGCGATAGAGATCATTTATGTTGACAAGCTATGCGGAGGATAGCGAAATGTGCATTGTGAAAGACTTATGTATCATGTCACGACGTGAAAACTCATTTTCTGGACAGTTCGAAGTAGCTACCGTATATCCCCACGTCTTTGAGTTAAAAAAGCGCATTATATTTATATGAGCTTGGCTCTGTGGCTAAGAATCTGCGACTATGACTGGAAGGTTGCTGGTTCAAATCCCGCGGTCGGCAGAGGAGTCCTGCTCTGTCCGGCCCCTGAGAGAGGCCCTTCATCCCATCCGCTCCAGGGGTGCTATATAAATGGTTGACACTGTGTTCTGACCCCGAACTTCTCTCCCTGTCTGTGTGTCTCATAGAGAGGAAGCTGGGGTATGTGAAAAGACAAATTCCTGATGGAAGCAATTGTATATGGCCATGAAAGTGATCTTCTTATATTGCACAATATTATTATTAACAATACAATATCATAATGATGTTTTAGTTTCTTTTCTACCATTTCAAATGATGATTAAAGCACCTGAAACTAGGAATGACAGTTAGTTTTGTGCTGCCCGGGCAGAAGTGATCCAGACTGAATTTAGGATGAATTAAGACAGAGCGGAGCAGTGGTGAGGGACACAGTGGCCTCCGAGCTCTTGCAGTTTAATTTCTGGCAGGGGCAGCAGCTGTGTGGAGTTTGCATGACCTCCCTGTGTTCATGGCTTTTCATGTCCTCCCCCCTCTTGCAAAGACGTGTTAAACCAGTTAATGATCTGTGAACTGTTAATGATCAGCTCAATTAAAGGGGATCTGCGGTCCCAATTTCTCAGACTGCTTCTTAAATCTCGGTCACAAAACGAATTCATCGACAGTGCAGAAAAGAATTGGCAATTTTGAATGAAGCACTTTTGGCCGGTGACCCGGGTTCGATCCTGAGGCGGGGGACGAACTGGGGTGGGAGTGGCAAGGGCAGAAACCACAAGAACCTGAACTTGCTACAGTATGTATTATTGTACAGGTTCTGCATATAGTATTTGTTAGAATCTGATGACCCCAGAATTACTGTAGGTGGAGTGTTCATCTTTGCTTCTTGGGGTCTGAGGGGTCTGATGTGGGAACAACAGGGATATTTGGGGGGGTCTGTCACCTTGTCACCTTTCTAGCACCTTTGTGACCACCAGCCCACAGAGCCCCCTGTGTCGACCAGTGGTGGTGAAGAGCCACACACTGTATTGAAGTTCTATGTGTTTGTTATGGGTTGTAAGGCACTGATGATGTAGCCCCTGTATTGAAATGTTCGGGAATTCTGCATGAAAAATAAATATTTCTATTTTCTGCTGAGCATTCTTTATTAAAAAAAAAACACATACATTTACAAACCGAAGCATTTTTGTCATGCCTTTTTTTAATGCAACAAACCACATCTGCACATTTAGGGAAATCAAGAGTGTTTTCCTGTTTTTTTTTAAATAGAATTTAGATTTACAGTAACTGATAGGAAGCAAAGCAGCAAATGCCTCAAACGCAACGGTTCTCTTCTGCTTTGACGAAGGGGGTTTAACAGCAGAGCTATGCAGAATGGAGGGAGCACAGCTGGCGTTGTCTGTGTTAGATTTCTGCACCCTTCAAACCCGCCGATGATAAATTGTGGAGGCTCAGCTGTAAAACGTTGGATCAGTGCAGTTCCCCCACCCGAAGCCCGAAACAGATGAATTTCTGGTGAGTTTTAAACCTCTGCCAGCGAATGAGCTCTGCAGTTCCACACACTTCAATGCTGGTGCACTGGGCGGCCATGCGGACTCAGAATTGAGGAATTCTTGCTTAGCCCACCTTGTGTATCTCAGAAAACAGTCTTAATTTTTCTTAAACGGCAGACATAGTTTTCTAGGCTTTTGTTTTCACTGCCGGAACTTTCAGGAGTCCGGCTTAATTTTTTTGGTGTCGCCTACTCTTCCCCATCCCCACCTTTCGATTGGATTTACTGTAATTAAAGAGAACTGGGGGTGGATGGTGGATGGTGGATGGTAACAGAGCCCACTCTACATGCTTGCGTTATTTATTTTTTCCAGGCGAACCAAGACTTTTCTGTAGGCTTGCTGCTGCATATTGGCGCTTTCCTTCTGTCGGTTCCGCGCGGTTTCAGAGGCGTCTTACGTAATTTGTTGCCTTTGATTCGTTTATTTTAACACATTTTTTTTTACCACAGCTTTCTTACAACCTACTACCGATTTAGCACGGCACGAAAAAGCTCCATTTTCAAGGGAAACTGAAATCACCAGCCCGGGCTTCGATGTTGATTCCGTTTCCATGACCTCGACTCCGAAACCGTTCTTATATCGGTCGCTCAGGAGCGGACTGAATCCCGCCTTGGCAACCCAATGCGGCTGCAGTTTTCCGTGCTGTAGGCTGCAAGAGGCTTACTGGAACTCACACTGAGGCTGACGGCTGAGGTGCGTGGAATAAACCTATTACCTATTACTTTTCAGCATGGAATAAACCTATTACTTGTTCCTTTGCAATATACTGTATTGTAGCGTGGGCAATAAACACGCAGAAAATCGTGAACAGAGCGGCTCTTTTATTAACTATTAAGGTATAGTTTTGTTATCCTTAGAAGTATCATTCCAATTGTAGTATACTGTATGTGGTGCCGAAGAAGAGCTTCTCTCACCACTGAATAAGAAAAACACCATCCGGCGTACACTGTGAAGGTGGGGGTCCCGACTCACACTGACAAATGCCAAAACGAAAGGGTGGGAAACCTGAGGTCACAGACCTTTGTGGGACAGCCACACGTGTATACTCGCATATCACGTACCAAACCCCTGTCTTTCCCCCACTGAGCTGACGGAGTTAGCAATGTCCCTGATAGTTCCCAAGTATCTCAGACAGATTCATTAATTCTCCTGGGGCTGACGTCACCAGCCCCACTGGTTGTCTGCTCGGTGCCTGATGAGGGCGCTAATAGGCATCTATTTTCTCATTACCAGAAGATGCAAAAATTTGAAGACTTCAGTCCATTACGGCCACAGGGCTGGATTTTTGTGTCCGTAGGCCCTGGGCACTTTCACTCCGAAATGTGCAGAAAGAGGGGGAAACGCCAATTGAATCACGTCGATTGCACATGATGCACTTTAAACTGTTCGAATGCTAAGCCAGGTGATTGATGGAGTGAGTCGAGCGCCCATCACTTCGATACGTCTAGTTTCTAGAACAGCCGCTAGATAGCGTGTGATTGTTGATTTGGAGCAGCCAGAGTCGATCCCAAACCTGTTGTTTCAGCTCAGTTTTCGTTAGTCACCAGTGTTTCCCTCCTTCGTAGGCTCTAAGGATTCCATAGGCGCTTGGCAAATATGGCACTGAGCGGCCCCTCTCATAGTCCACAGAGCCTTGAGTGTCTTTTGCGTGCCTCTCCTTAGACAGCTGCCCTCTTCTAAAACTCTGTCCCCTCTGAGCTCAGGTCGCCACTTCTCCCTGTGTCCCAGGGTCAACAGCAAGGTTCACAGACCAGTAATCCCCTCCTTCTTTCTCCTGCTTTGGACAACTGTGTCTCCCAGGACCAGCTCTCTCAAGACACCACAACAGAAACAAATGACGTGGATCTGCTCAGGGATCCGCGTAATCCAAGTGGGAAAATGCATGTAGACTTGTTGGCAGTGTGGCAGGTTCCACTTTGACCCAGATCGGCGTGACCGGGTGAGGCACTGGTTGGGCACATCCCAGATAAAAAGCTGAATCGTGTCTTTTCCCCTTGGATCCACACTGAAAAGATCCCAGTGAGAAGCTCTCAATTAAGAACTGCCTGCAATATTTCCCTCTGTTTGTGGAGATGCGTAATCAAATGTATAACTTCCCCTAGAATCTAAGAGTGACAAAAAAAACACAAGAAATCCATTAAAGTGACGATCATTAAGGTTATCAGTAAATCTAATTTTGCTTTGCGTTTCAGCTAAAATTTCCTCTCTGTGATAAAGAAATAGGTGCACCTGCTTGCAGATAAGCTTGTGCATCTTACCCCTTTATGCACTTTTTTTTCAGCTGCTTTTGTGTACAGCACCCATTTTGCGATGTGTGTCTGCACAGTCACGAGAAACAGTGTGTTTACTGGTCACAAATCGCAACTGTTTCCCAGCAAACACAAAATGTCTCAGCTGCCCAGAGTTGCTGAGCAGTTGAGCAGGGGTTTTGTAACAACAATGGAAGAAGGCAGTCTGGCCGTGTCAGACATAAGGAAAGAAAAACATCTAAGCCATTTATTTTATGAATGTACCATTTAGTTTGTGCTTGACACAATCACAGAACAAATGTATGGAAATATTGCGCGCAGTGCAAGTTAAAGAGGATTACTGCATCACGGGCAACAGAGGTCTCAGAACCGAGTGGGGCATAATTTACCACACTATGCAGAAGGCAATGAGGCACTGAACCATGACAGATTCTGTGGTAAAAAGCATGTGTCTGTGTGCAGTTTGAATTAATTTAAACTGACATTTTTGTTTCTCACTGAAAATAGCTGGCTGCCAACAACAGTGCACTAGCTCCCCCCATCCACCCCAACTTCACTTTTGCAGCTGCCTCCTTGGCTCATTCCTTGTGATTGTGGTTGTGACAGTATTGATTTCCAACCTGTACTGTCATTTCCTCAGTATTTAGTATGCTAAACCTCTACATTCGGTCACTTGTTTTGTCATTCTTAGAATTTGACTGAATTAAAAGTACTGAACTCTGTTTTCCGGTGAATTTCATGATTTGAGAATTATCGTATTTTACTGGAGTTATACAACATTCATTTTTCATGCTGAAAATTGCAAAAGCATTGTCACCATCTCCTGCAAGATTCAGAACTGACGTTTGGAGTAAAAATGTCTTAATGCACAATTCAGTACCTGTCGATAATGTCCTGCTCCCAGGAGCTGTAGATTGATTCAGATTTGTCAAGCAAACTAATGTCTCTATATATTCCATTCTGAGATCTAAATAAAGCTCTGCAATCTCCAATAGCACCGCAAGGTGCTATCTAACCTGTTGAGGCAGCACCCTGGATTTGGGGGGGTAACTATTTGTGAAATGTGTTGTATGAACCTCAGCATTAAAAGTCTGGGGGAGTTACAGAGTTTGCGGTAGTGAAAAAGGCTAATTATAGCTGTAACACCTCTGTGAAACTCACGTATGCACATAAACAAGTGATTTTGACACAAAGGGTTTTTTTACTTGTTTTTCTTGTTTCTCATGATCTCGAAGCCTTAACGCCTGCTTCCTCGCAGGGGCTTGAGCGGTTCTGGCACCTGAGACTGAGCAGATGCTCGTTTCCAGGCCTAGCCGCGAGGCTGATAGCTGCAGCGAGGGGAGGGCAGGGGAAGGGGCACTGCGCAGGGTCTCGTTTGATTGATTGCAAGAGCGGAGGAAATCCGGCGTGTGTGGGCAAACGCAGAAGAAGAAAAAGAAGAAAACAAACGAAAACGGAGCCCCGTCAGTTTTTCCAGATCAAGATTCGCGTGTATTGTAAATGCAGGTGCATAGAAACCTCAGAGCCCTTTTGCTGCCAAGCAACACTGTACTCCTAACAGCCTTGGGAGTTTGTACAGCTTATCTGAAGTAGTAAAAATAGTTTGTTGTTTTGTTTTGAGTGCAAGTTAAAGGGGATCGCTTTGAACATTATATGCAGGCGCGTTGCACCTTTCATCCAGAAGGATGCCAAAGCATTTTACCTACAGGATGGGACCCTAATCAAGGATCACTGGACAGCAACATCGCAGAAGAGGTGTTCATGCACCAGCAGCCCCAGTACAGGGCAGAGAACTTCAGGTGAAGAGTTTTAGAGTAGATTTGAAAGCCTGATGATATTACGATATACGATATGATTAGCTAAAATGCATTATATCTTGGAAACGGGGGTTCACACCGTGAGGGATATTAGAGGGTGAATTGAAGTGAAGTGGGTGGGAAGAGAGACCTGCTCTGTTCAGCCCCCCGCCCCCCTGGGTGATTCACAGCAGCCATCGTAGACCTGCAGCCCCACTGTACAGCAGACAGAAAGGAGATCCACGAAAGTGCTTCATCAGCTGAATCAAGGGCTAACTTTATGCTCAAGCCCAGCAGGTGATTCAAAGACGCTGGGGCTAATGCCCTTTGAAAAGTGCCATGGGATGTTTTTAACTTGAGACGGTTTAATGCCTCATATGAGGCACCTCCTAAACCAGTGTTTCTGGTCTTAATAATGAGGTGATGTTGAGGAAATGCTAGTGTAAAGGGGAGAGCACTGCCTACTGGTCCTCCAAAATCACTGACAGCAACTTCCTGGTGTTCCTGGAGGTCTCCTACCCAGCCTTGCTTAGCTTCTGAAATCCGACAATATCAAAATGGTGAGCAGTAACGTTGCTGTCTGCGTCAGCAAACTTAAAAGATTCAAGCCATGGTGATTTACACTGAAAGAATTCTTTCAGATTTAGGATACAACGCAGTTTGTTGCTCTGAGTAGGACTGGACCATTTTGTGATGCATTTTTTCTAACCCAAAATGTATTGACCGTTGATTTTAACACACTGTTGTCGTTTTTGAAATAGGTTATACTGTGTGTCATTCATATTGGTTGGTTATCCTGAGCATAATGTAGCAATTCCTCATGTGTGTTGTAGTTTTAAAGCCTGGCAATGTCAAATCAGTGTTTGACAGGTTTCAAAATAATGGGAATTAATACTATCACTATAATAGAACACTGTATAATAATATAATAACATTCTTCACTCCTGAAGAAGACTTCAATGTGTTACTTCTTTCTGCTTTTCAGTATGAAATTATTCTTGCTACTTTACTTGTTACTACTTATTTCTATAATAGCCTAATTAAATAGCAGGATCACACAATTTGCATCGACATTTTGATCAACTGCAATCTTGTTACCTCTTTCCACTATGATTTCTATGATCATGATCATGCATTAAACAGTGATATATCTAGGATGGATCCGGAGGATATGAGATACTTTAACACAAAAAAAGAATAACAGATAACATGATATACCATACCTTTTTTTCGGACTATGCACACTATTAACACCAAGATGAAGAGAGCTACAGCTGTAAGTGTAGCTATCATCCAAATTTTGTTTTCTAGAAAAAAAAACACAAAAATAAAATGAGAACAAACTGCAACAGGAGATTCTTTTGCTGATAACACACAAAGACAAGATGTTGATGGGGGTGGTTGGTTAAGCTCAGCTCTGCCGTCTAGTGGTTAGCACCCTAAAATCATCGTTGATCCCCATTAAGATTCCTTTTGAATGCCCTTAGGCCCTCCAACAATCTCCTCATTTTACACAGCATGGCAGACAATATTAGGGTGGTAGTGAATTTAACCAGGAGACAACATGGTTGAGTTAGGAACAGAAAAGGGGCAGTACGTTCCTACCACAGTCATTCAATTTCTCTATAAAATGCTGATTGAAAGTTCCACCCTGTACTACAATTATATGACCTCAATTATCTTCCTTCCATGCTCTCTGGTCAAAGCACACTGTATGTCCCTGATAGTGATTTGGACATGCCATTTTCTAGACACACCGGTAATATATGAATGTCCTACTTCATCAACCACATTACTGGAGAAGCTGATTTCCACTTCCAAAAAAACGACATCTAAAAATACAACCACAAGCCACACAATGCTTTGTGGAAGCGATCACTACTGTATTTGGAAACCATGTGGAAGTGGAAATGTGGGTTGTGGGACTCTTGGACCAGCTGCCCAGCCATGTTGTAGAAGTCAATACTCTAGTTTCTTTCAGGAAAATAACTGGAAGAGACAGATCAATTAATTACTGATGACCAAAGGGGTTAGATGGGCTGAAAGGCCTCATCATATTTGTCACTCTTCCCATGTCCTTAATAGAGAATCCCCTCCTTTTACTTGCCTGGAATGCTGCCATATTATTGTGCTGCCTCATAATTTTGACTCATCTGGGATGCCACAGTGGCATCTACTGGACAAAACAGCAATTAGCTCTTGACTATAGTTATTTATTGATGCTAATTATTTTTTAGAGCTCCCACACTTATAAAGACTTAAGTTCTGATGTCCTACAAATCAAATATACAGATACAGATGTTCTGGAAATAACATTACAAACTACCTATGAGCTCCAGCTAGAGAGGGACTTTTGTTAAAGCCTTTTGCACGTGCTGTAATACTGCTCCTGTGTGTTTACAGCTGACTGAGCAACACCATGCAATATATCTGTTTTGATATACTGTACTGTACCTGTTTGTACAGACCATTAAAGAGACAGTGATTTTTATTTTTTTCAAATGATGATCGATTGGAAATTTCTTTTTGGCACTTCACCTGCTGAGCACAAAGGGAAATTCAAGAGAGCAAAGTGAGGTTCAGATCCAGAGAAATGCAAAGCCCAGGGGGAATATGTGTCTGAGGCTGAGAAATGCAAAGAGGGTCCAAAGCCAAGTGAAACAATGTTCGTATCACAGAGGGGCAAATCTGGGAAATAAGGTCAAGAACAAGTGAGGTCAGGAATCAAGGCACAAACAAGGCACGGCTAGGGAACAAAGCTCAAATCTTGAGAGTCTCAGAGTCCAAATGCTTATAACAGAGTAGTTTCAAAGCAACCTTTAAATTTTATGAACCACCTGAAGCACCCGAGGTAGTAAATTGCCTCCAGGTGGTCCAGGCTTCCTGTCAAATTGGTGTCCATGTTTGTCCATGTGTGACAAGTGGGTGGAGCAGTGGCCAGCTGCCATGTCAATGATAGTCTGCCCCACAGAGCAGCAGCAGGGGCAACCCTAACAGGACTACAAATGTGGAAGAAACAAGTTGAAGGTGCTGTTTCATGTTAACTGCTTTTACTGGAACAAATGTCTTCTGGCAATGTAACTCGGGGGCAGACCATGAGAAAGGCTGCTGGATCTGATGGTGAAACTATGTTCACCTGGGCTTTTACCAGTTGGCCCTACTTTCCTTACCGACCTTCCAGATAAGTTTGATTGAGCTCTTTACTCAGTCCTACACACCACAGTTTGAACCTTGTTCCCCATGAAAGACTCCTCATATTTGCCCATAATTTGAGTGACACCTCTTGTCCATACTTGCATTCCCAAAAAAGCAAATCAGGTAGAAAAAACACCACTGATCTGAGAGAGTTACCTGATTTATACTGAGCACAATCCTGTCTATTATCGGACCAGGATATAGAGGCTGCGCTGACTTCATTTTTGACTTGACACTTGTACGTATGTCCACTACTGTGATTCGAGAAACTGTCTTGTGTAACGTTGACCTCACTCCCAGAGCTGTAGAGTCCAGGAGGAAGTAGCGTCCATGTAATTGAGGCGTTGGTTCCTTTTTTAAATGAGCAGTTCAAAGCAATGAAGCACTTTCCATCTCCCAGAATGGTTGGTATCACATTTATTTCGGGATCTGAGACCACTTCTGATAGAAAAAAAAGAAGACACAGTCATGAGACAACATTAGAGAAGTGTTGGGCAATATTAAGACCTAAAAATTGTTTACAGACCCCGGGGCATTTCTCGAAAGAAGAAGGTGTGTTACCCTAGTGTCCTGGCCAAATTTCCCCCTGTCCTTTGCTAATCATGGCCTCCTAATAATCCCCATCACTGAGCTGGCTTTATCACTCTGCTCTCCTCCCCACTGAGAGCTGGTGTGTGGGGAGAGTACTGGAGCATCATCCAGGTGGGGATACACATTGGTGGTGGTGAAGGGGATCCCCATTACCTGTAAAGAGCTTTTGTGTGTCCAGAAAAATGCTTTATAAGGGTTATTATTATTGTTATAGATAATTCCTAAGCTGATTGCTTGCTGTATGTGTGAACTGTACAAGATTGAGAAAGGTCCTGTCACTGAAGTGGTTATTCTGAATTGTTGCTGTGAATCTGAGTATCCCATGACCCAAGATATCCCATGACCAAAATACCCAGCCTGTCAACAAGTAAAAGAGGGCACAACATGTCATCTGGCAATCAGCAGGTCTCTGAACTGGTTCTTCCCCATTCGACACACCACCTAATAAATGGAAATATGCGTAAAGGTTTGGGGGAAATATTTGGAAATCCCCATAATATAGATCATTCGTCAACATGTGTGATAGCTGAACCGAAGAAGGGACTACAAAGCTGCAGAGCTGCACAGGTGACATGGAAAGTACAATCGAGTCACCATGAGTTTCACATGACATTACTGCGAAGTCAAGGCAAATGAATTGCGGTGTAATTGCTTTTGTGGCTCATTTGCATAAGGACTGGGAGGAAACTAGTCTCAGACAATCCAGGGCGTGACTGATAGTTACAATGATGCTGTGAGTCAACCTGAATCATTTGAAGAGCCACACTGGGTTTCAACCTAATGTTTCTATTCCAAGTAACTCATTCATTTGCAACCATTCATGCAGCTCGGTGTTGTATCTGAATGATTCGAATGAAGTTGTACCTCTCTCAAAGGTACAACGAGGATTTGAGCCCACACCCTGCTGGTTGTAAGTCTAACCACTGCTGCCCCTCTGTGCTATGCCTCTTCATTGAACCACTTGCTTGATTGTGGTTCTTCCATTTGTCCAAGTGTCCATCTGAGGAGTTAAGGATAACCAGATCTGTGGATGCTGAATTCGGCCACCTAATCTCTTCCGGTTTTTGTTCTGTTTGAGCTCCTATATGTTGTGACAAACTAATTGGTTTTGTTGAACTGCTTTATATCTGGTAACTGGTAAAAATAGCTATCCCACTTTAGATGTACTGCTGCTAAAGAAAATATTTAGCAAGACACTTACCTGTCCTGCCCTTGTTTCCTGAATTCAGGATCCACTGTGTACAGAGTTATGAATCATAATGAGCTTGAAGCAATGCCAGATTTCCCATGAGGCACTGTAGGCACAGTGCCTAGGGCCTATGGAATTTTTAGGGCCTACGAAGGATGGAAACACTAGTGACTAACGAAAAACGAGCTGAAACAACAGGCTCGTGATCAGCTCTGGCTGCTCCAAATCAATAATCAGACGCTAACTAGCGGCCGTTCTAGAAACTAGATGTATCAAAGTGATGGGCGCTCGACTCACTCCATCAATCACCTGGTTTAGCATTCGAATAGTTTCAAGTGCATCATGTCAATCGATGTTACTCAATTGGCGTTTCCCCCTCTTTATGCACATTTCGGAGTGAAAGTGCCCAGGGCCTACAGACACCGAAATCCGGCCCAGTTTGCTTCAGTTTCAGACCCCTGATCATTGGAACAGTTGATCATAAATTAAAGGAAACTGTGAAGGATTCATGCCCATTGCTTTTACAGTACAGGTGTTTAAGAACAGAAAGTTAGTTTAAATTAAACATTAACCACCTCACGACCCTGCACTGGATAAAGTGACACTGAGGCCATCACAGATCAGAAACACAATTTAGACACACGATACAGACCAATCAGTCCCATTAGTCCAATCTGCAAGTCTTTGGGACCTTGGAGGAAACTGGAGCAGAAGACCACACATAGATATGGGCTGAACATGCAAACTCCACACAGAATACCCAGAACTCCAGAGCTGTGAGGCAGCAATTATAACCACCATTTCCATCATGCCCAAAAAATAACATTCTGTGTAAGCAAATTCACTTTTCAGGAAAAATACAGAATACAAGTGGGTCATTCTGGTATATCTGGCTGGAGATCTGTAAGTAATGGTATCTCTCACATATAAAATAGACTTAAAAGAAGATACTGTATGTCACTGACTGGAAAGAGAGAGACTCAGAATTCCATTGTTAATTACAATGTTATCATCCATCAATTTTCTCATTTTCTTCCTGTTCAGAGTTGCTGGGGAGCCAGCGCCTATCCCATCAAGCAACAGGAGCAGAGCAGGGTACTCCCTGGATGGAACGTTTGTCCATCACAGGGCAGACACTTGGAGACACGTACAAGGCTCCAACATCAACAAGTAGACGCAGTGAAGGAACATACTGAATATCATCTCACCTTGAACAATCAGCTTGTAAATGGAGATCTTCTTCTGTTCCCCATTGTCATCAGTGGCTTCCATGTAATAGATTCCCATGTCACTGAAGTCTAGGTTCGCAAGAGTCACTGAGTGATTTTTTTCGTTCAGCAACACCTTGCCTAGAGAATGCTCATGGAGGATGTTTAGTTTGAATTTGGAGCCATTCAGATATATCCATTCCACTTCGCTGTAATTTTTCAAGAGCTGAGACTGCAGCACGACAGAGCTCCCTTTGGCACCATAGACTACCTTCTCTTCATCCGATCGCACTGCAATTAAAACAGAGGAGAAGAAACACATTACATGGAGTCTTTTCACCGAGTTGGGGTCATGAAGAGTGCTTGTTATTTGTCCTGGCAGGAGAGGAAATGGCAAATGCTTCTGATGGACATAGGAATAATGATTGTAGCAACTAATGGGGTTCAGATCAATCAATTAAATGTCAGTGTGTTTTATTTTTGTGTCATACCTTTCTATAGCCATATGACTATAGATCAAATGCAGGAAGAAAAAAAAGGAAATAGATCTCATACACTCTAGTCTTGTGGAGCATATATGGCTTTTGGGTTTATATTCAATTGCCTTAAGAGGGGTTGACAGGGGTTTGTTACACACATCATGTCTGTGAAGTCTGTGTTGGACACAAGTAGGTTTATTCCATGCTGAAAAGAGAAGAAAGAAAACAACCTTTCAGTTTTGGAGCCTTCTTTGGGTGTAAGAAGGCTCCACAGCCAAAACGCTACACCCGAAGAAAGCTCCACAGCCGAAATGTTGTGTTTCCTTTCTTCTCTTTCCAGCATGGAATAATTCTTTTACTTGTTCCTTTGCAGCCATGCATGCTGGCGAAGCTACCCACCTGAACTGCTTCATAATGCTAATAATCATGATGTTTATATATAAAGTGCCTGTCCAAAGGATTACTTTACATATTGACAAAGTAAAAGACAAAAAAGTACAATAAAACATAAAAGAAGGAAAAAACAAACAAACAAGAGTTTACATGTTTATACAGCTGTAGGGAAATCAAACCTAGACCTTGGTAAAAATGAAAATTTAACTAGCAATTTGAAGAGAGTTAAATAATTTGTCTCTCACAGGGTCTGACAAAGGTCGTTCCATAACAAATGGAGCAGCAACAGAAAAGGCTCAGTCACCTAAAGTCCGGGATTTAGACCAGTGAGCAGAGGACCAGCCTGTACTGACAGTGTGAACAGGAGGAGTTCAGAGACGTATGATGGAGCCAGATTGTCCAGAACCTCAAAAGTCAGTAACAAGGTTGAATGTCACTATTTTTAAAGCTGTACCTTGGTTTCCTGTGGCTTAGACGTGCCTTCACTATGCCTCGCTGCACCGAGCTGTGAAAAACTCATTCTGAATGGTTCAGTTCTATTGTGGCAGAGCTGCTTATGAACTTTGGAGGTACTTTAGGTTTCTTTCTTTTGAACAGAAGCAGACGGCATGCATTTTTGATGCCATACGTGGAATCGAATATTTAATAAGAAAACGTCTGTCCAATCTCTATGTGTCTCTATATTTCGAAGTAAGTAAGAATATTCATCAGGAATGTTATAGGCTTTTGAGTTTAAAGCTGATATCACTTGAAATCAATGGAGGGTTATTAGAATAGAAGGGTTATTAGGGCCTCAGTTTAGATGTAAAATATGCAGATGCAGAATGCACTTCAAAGATATGATTCTTCTCTAGTGTACTCAACTAAACAGGAAACTACTGCTCCCAAACTGCTATCAGGCTTAAATATCAGCCACAAACACTTTTGCTTTCAATTTGTGGTGCTGTTTTTACTAGCAAGCACAAAAACTGAACTGTGGAACTGTGTTAGTATAACAGATGAAGGTTTATCTCCTGCGGGGTCCGATTGCAGACTCTCGCTGGTATGTCAGACTCTTCAGTGAATTCCCCTATGACAAATAATACTATACTATATTATATATAATACTAATATAATACTATATTAGGCTACATTTATTTTTACATGACAAACTTTATATATATGTTGTAAAATATGCGTTATAGTTTTACTTTTTTATTTTTTTATTTTTCTTTTTTCATTTGTATAATTGAATTACAATTACAATAATTGAATTATAATTGAATTGTATAAATGTATTACATTTTTTAAGTGACCTCATGTCCTAAACCCCTGTGTTTACTTTAGAAAGTCAATGACTGGGTGTCTGATCGCCCAGTTTCACTGATTAGCAGGAAGTGACATCACTGGCACGGTTCTTTGAAAAACTCAAAATGGCGTCTAGGATAATTTTTCTCTTCAAGATGGATTCTGCGATCTAGTTGTTCTGTTTATATACATATTGGAGTTGTTCATGAAAATGGAGAAAGGTCTCCATGTCAGAGCCTTTTATTCTGAGAAAGGTGTGATAAAATTGCGGAGCTGGGACTAAAACAATGGTGCAGAGAGAATACATTACTGATGGTGTCTACAGACATAAACTCATAAGAATTTATTTACTGTATATGAAGAAAAAAATTGTTGCAGTCTACATCACATCACAAACTTACATTACATGTAATGTACATTACAAATACCAAAATAACACATACTGTACATAAAGGTCATGGGAAATTTCCCATAATACTCTCTAAAAACAAACAAGAGAATCAAAAAAACACAAAAGTTGAAATGCTTGATTCATATCTTAAAATGCAATGATCCATAACTCAGTCTCATTGTGTTCAAGAGGAGAATCTCCCAGGCATTCCCAGGGAAGTTAAGGGATCACAAAGAATTAACTGTTCCTATTTTAAGATGGTGCTTGCTAAATATATTCTTTCATTTGACTGGACTCAGTTTTGATAGAACTGATTTGGGCTCAAGAACATCCACAGTTCGAAGTGTTTAAGGTTCTTCTTGAACAGTTTGTGAGCTACCATAGCCTCTTTCTACTATGAGTACTGAATCCTGAAACTTAATGAAACTGGTTCAAAACCAGTGGCACTGTGGCTCAGGATCTGCACTAGTGGCTGGAAGGTTGCCGGTTCAAATTCTGCAGCCTGCAGAGGAATCCTACTCTGTTGGGTCCCTGAGCAAGGCCCTTAACCCCAGCTGCGCCAGGGGTGCTGTATAAATGGCTGACCCTGCGCTCTGACCCCAAGCTTCTCTCCCTGTCTGTGTCTCATGGAGAGCAAGCTGGGGTGTTGTCTGAAAAGACAAATTCCTAATGCAAGAAATTGTATTTGGCTAATAAAGTGATCTTATCATAAATAAGCACTTTCCAGTGCTTTAACTTTCCCCAAACCCTGTTTTATGTTCCCAAAATGCAAATATACATTTGACAGAAAGAGTGTAGTAAGACACATGGATCTTCTGTCAAGTCAGTACGTCTGAACACCAAGAGAACACAACAATAGCCCGTACATCATGTTGACATACTCCATCAATTTCTTCCCAGACAGTAAGAAACACTATCTTATAAACGCTATATACACTACAAACACTGTCATAAAAATACAGTAGTAATACAAAACTACACATCTGTGACCACGTGAAACACCAACAACGTTTTACACCCTGTTGTTTAGATTTAAAAAAAAAGCCAACTGCTTATATCACACTTCTCCATCCCTTCCTTTTTCGCTGTTCACTTTGTCCCTCTAACAATGCTCCAAACCAGAGAAGAGAGCACGGTACCTGTTTTTAAAATGATCGCCGCGGCAAACAGCCACACGCAGGTCATGCCTCTGTTCCTTTTCCGGTGTCTGCTGCTCAACATGTCTTCTGGCTCAGGCGGCTCACGCTCCCAATCTGCTCGTCCCTGAAGCTTTGATGTCTCTTTTAACCACTGACGAGACAATACCTGAGGCCTCGAAACTGGAAATGCCAACCGGGGCAGGAATGCCCTCTGCGCGAGTGTGAAGTGGGTTTACTTCCCCCTTTTAGTCAATTTCTAGTTTACTTCAGATGAAAAGGGGGTTTCCCCTCTCATCATTCTCCTGCTGCAGCTTCAACGGTTGTCGAACTACTTCCTGGCCCTGTTGGGAAGACGTGCAAAATTATAAGCTCCGAGCCGCTACCGGGCTTCTGAAGTCACCTCTCATGAAGAACTTCCAGGATTCAGCTGGAGAGTCAGCAGCCACGGACAGAACCGCCAACAGCTTTAGCTGATATCGCGGGTCTTCTTGATATCAGCAAAATGTGATTGCACACATACATGCCCAGGTTTCAGAACTGGAGGTCACGGTACAAAAGTACCGTATAACAAGCTTGCAAATTCCTTTGACTTAAAAAGCTGTTGTTCAATCCAGTTGAATACAATTGCGTGGAAACCTGCAGGGCTCGTGATCTGCTCCCAGCGCAAGAAGAGCAGCTTTTTCGAAGAAAAACGGAAGAAAAACCCAGATAATGAGGTGGGGTGCACTTACTGCCAAAGCAAAGTGGCTCTCGAGCGCTGTACTGTCACACGTTATATTATGAGAATTTCAACATAGTAAACAAATGTGTGATATAAAAACCCCATGAGCTATGTGTTCGTTACGTGCGTGGTCTGCTCTGAAAAATGGGCAGGGCAGGGTGTCTTAACACATGCTTGCCACAACCATGACTCATGGCTGAAAAGGCCTCAGCGCTCATTCGTCATGTTCGTACAGCTCGGTGTGGGGGCCGGCCTGCCCAGTTGGAAAGGAGACCGGCTGGTGTTGCACATAATCCCGCGAGCCACAGATCTCCGATTCCCCCCGAACTCATGCCAAGGGACCGCTGTGCTAGATGGATCTACTGCCCGGACGGGACAGCAGCCTGGCACCGCCTGGCACACTCAAGCACACAGCGGCAATTAGGACATCAATTAATCGATTAAACAGCTGCAGCTGTTTTTGGAAAGTGGGAGTGAGCTGGAACACCAGGAGAAAACCCATATGGCTATACATGGAGAAGATGTATGCGTGAACTCCACACGGAAGATCCCATTATCAGGAAGCAGACCGGGATATGAGAGCTCTGGGGTAGAAGCAGGTACTGTGTTTTTTATTCCAGTGGTCCAAGATCTCGACCTGGTAAGTTGGGGGAGAGAACCCAAGCACAGCAGGAGCAGGCCTGTCTGGCTTGCTAACGCATTTCTATAAAACAGTGAAATTCCAAAAACCGAGCCTGATGAGGACATAGGACTCCCGAAAGGCCGAAATGATTTCTTATTTTTAAGTCGGCTTACTTATAATTTTGTGCGATACTAAGCAATATCTGTTCGCTTTTAATTTTATAAACGCTGTGCGCAGACCGTACGTACTCGGGCTCCATCTAGTGGGCAACATTGTAAATAGTAAAGATCGTCTGTTATACTTCATTTTATAAAGCTCCTTTAAAAGTAGCATCCCAAAGCGCTTTACAGTAGGTGTTAAAACAGTTAAAAGAAAAGAAAACTATTAGAGGAACACAAATGACAAAATAATCACCTGTAAGAAAGATACGTGAATAGAAGAAATGCAGCAAAAGATCTATGGTCATTGGAAAATGGAGACGAAGAACTTAAGTAAAGGCCTTTCTGTAAAGAAATGTTTTGTGTGTAGCTTTAAATGCACTCAGGGAAGGTGAGCCTCTGATAGAGGATAAAATTCCAGATCTTTGGGGTGTAGCAGGAGAAAGCCCTGTCACCCACTCAATGTAGACAAGCTTGCGGTACAAAGAGCAGATCTGAATTAGCTGAACAAAGGCTGCAAGGTGGGGAGTAGAATGATAGTAAGTCAGACTAGTACTGAAGTCCCAAGCCATGTAAGAATACTAATTCCTCACACTTATATAGCGCTTTTCTGGACACTTCCCTCAAAGTGCTTTACAGGTAATGGGGACTCTCCTTCACCACCACCAGTGTGCAGCCCCACCTGGATGATGCTCCAGTCCTCTCCCCACACACCAGCTCTCAGTGGGGAGGAGAACAGAGTAATGAAGCCTGTTCAGAGATCAGGATTATTAGGATGCCATGATTGGTAAGGGCCAATGAGAAATTTGGCCAGGACACCGGGGAAACACGCACTACTCTTTTTGAGAAATGCCCTGGGATTTTTACTGACCACAGAGTTCAGTTTTACATCTCATCGAAAGGACGGCATCTTCTTAGCATATAGTGTCCCCATCACTATACTGGGGCATTAGGACCCACACAGACTGCAGAGTGAACGCCCCCTACTGGCCCCACTAACACCTCTTCCAGCAGCAACCTGAGCTTTCCCAGGAGGTCTCCCATCCAGGTACTGACCAGGCTCACACCTGCTGAGCTCCAGTGGGGCTGCCAGCTGAGAGCTGAGAGCTGTGAGCTACAGGGTGATAGGGCTGCTGGTGTCGAGCCTGTAGGTGTGTATGTCATGGGAGTCAGAACCGGCGATGCAAGACGGTATCATCCGGAAGTGACTGGAGGAGGACATCAGGGAAGACACAGCACGATCAGGTCGGGTAGAAACACAGGGGTTGATGACAGCAGTGATCTGGTGCACGGGGGGGGGCTAGACGCAGGCGAACGAGTCCAAAAGGAAGTCCAATGGGGGAAACCAGGGCACAGCCCAAGGTCCAGGTGCCGGGAGATGTAGGATGTAGGAATACGGATAGATCTCAATGGAATACGCATCATCTGCATAACAAAACTCTCCTACTTTAGTATATTTCTGAGTGTAACTGATCAGGTTCAGTAGTACCCACTACCATGGCTCAGCTCTTGAGCCTGCTGACACAGACAGCTCTTTGTATTCCAGTACCTGGTCAGTACAGGGAAGGAAAACCCCAGGGAAACCAGATTGCTACTGTGATGTTGATGGACTAGTAGTCGGCTCTCTTCCCTCTGAACTATTTAATATATATATAACATTTTCTAACCATGTCATCTAATTCAGGGGTCACTAGGGAGTGGGGCCTAATCCTGCAAGTGTCGCGGAGCTAGTTCGGACACGGTGACGTCATCGGCCTCCCTGCGCGTAGCAGGGACCTCAGCCGCCTGGGTTGGGGGAGGTCTCCTCTAGCTCACTCGGCTGGTTCCCTGTTGCGTTACGCCAGGGAGACCCGGGTTCGCGCCCCAGACGTGGCGGGCTGGAGCAGTGGGGGGGGGGAGAGCCCGCGCGGAACCGCGACAGCCACACAAGCAACAGGCACAAGGCAGACTCCCACCCTGAATGGTGACACCAGTCCATCGCAGGGCACACACCCCCAACAGAGGCAAAAATTTCCCCAGAAGCCAGTGAACCTCATCTTCGGACTGTGGAGGGAACCCACACAAACACAGGGAGAACATACGTACTCCACGAGTACAGCACCCCAGGTCTGGAATTGAACCCGGGACCCCAACGCTGTGAGGCAGCAATTCAATCCACTATGCCTTCCTCCTTCTGAACACCAACATTTCCAAAACTAAGGCTCCAATAATAGGAACACTGTGCTCTTTTTTGGGATGAGATGTCATGCCAGAGTTCTGACTACCTGTTCAGAGAAAGTGTCTTTATTATCCCTTGGGGGGCAGGGGGGAGACAAGTTGTTTTACAGCAGCAGTGTTGGTGTGCAGATGGAGAGAAAAATAAACGACAGGAACAACAATATCTATACATATTTACAGAGAAGGTCAAGTGTTAAGTAAGGATAAGGCTACAGGTATGAGTGAGAACTTGAGTCTGTTGGTTTTGGAGTTGGGGAGTCGGTATCTGCGTTCTGGTGGGAGTAACAGGAAATGATTAAACAAGGGCTGTGAAGGATCGTCACAGATGGATTTTGCTTTATGTAAAACATGTGGATGACAGATGGAGCAGAGGGCTGGAAGATCAGCACCAATGACCTTCTGACATTTTCTAGCCAGCAGCCATATCACCCTGCAACTCTGGCAACCCCCGGAAGCTAAGTATGTGTGAGCCTGGTCAGTACGTGGATGGGAGAGTCTGGGAAAAACTAAGGTTGCTGCTGGAAGAGGTGTTAGTGTGGCCAGTCGGGGACGCACACCCTGCAGTCTGTGTGGGTCCTAATGCCCCAGTACATCGACGGGGACACTATAGTGTAAACAGGCACCGTCCTTCGGGTGAGATGTAAAACCGAGGTCCTGACTCTCTGTGGTCATTAAAAATCCCAGGGTGTTTCTCGAAGAGTAGGGGTGTAACCCCCGCATCCTGGCCAAATTTCCCCCTAGTCTTTACCAATCATGGCCTCCTGATAATCCCCCTCTCTGAACTGGCTTCATCTCTCTGCTCTCCTCCTCACTGAGTCTGTGGTGAGCGTTCTGGCCCACTATGGCTGCCGTCATATCATCCAGGTGTGGGCTCTACATTGGTGGCGGTAGTGGGATTCCCCATTACCTGTAAAACGCTTTGAGTGGAGTGTCCAGAAAAGCGCTATATAAGCGTAAGCAATTATTATTATGTTTTCACCAGGCTGCCCAATTGTTCTTGCCTCTCAGATTCAGGTTGCCAAACCAGCAGATCAGGGTAAAAGTTAGAACAGATTCAAGGAGGGAACGGTAGAACAAAACCAACAATGAATCATCTTGACTGTTCGCCTGTCCACTTGATATCTCACAGGACAGGCTGTAAGACTACAGGTGTTGACCCTAGAGTCCTGGATGAACTACGCCCCAAGCATGATCAATACGGCCTCCCTGAAGTTCAAGCTTGTTTTAGCAGATCTTAGCCGCTGTGCAGGGGGGCTGCTGGCTGAGTGTCTCCCAGGTGTTGGTGGATGAAGAAAGATTCTTTCATATACAGAAAGCACTTTGGGATCCTTTAGAATTGGGATTGCTCTATAAATGACGGTGGGTGTCAGAGCTATATACTGTACGTCAGAGCTATATACTGTACGTAATTGCTCTTTTTGTCACGGGGATTGGGAATATGTGCAGAACTGATCATTTCGCATAGCAGGGGCAAACCGGCGAAATCTGTCAAAGCGAACCCAGACAGCTGTTAGGATGTGGAGCATTTACCCGCCATGCACAGAGCACGCAGTTTCACGGTTCGTCTTCTGACAGTTTGACACCTACAAAAATCGCAGCGCTGATGCCTCCCACACCTATATTTTTTCTACGCGAGACGATGTGCCGTGGCGGCCGTTCGAGAAAACAGGATGTGATCTTTTTAAAAAAAAAAAATACGATCTCTTCTGACTGAGCAGCCAAGACGCTGTGAGAATTTCCTCCCCGACCAGAGTTAAAGAGTAGTGTTTTGCATGATGGAAGGATGACTCTCGCTGTGTGCATTTTGGTTTTCGGCACCCTCTGTTCAGGTAAAGATGGACCGACGTCGTGGAGCCGAGCAGGTGGCAGTCTTTAGGAAACCGCTTAACGCATTGCCCGCCTCGAGAGGGGGGCTAATTTCTGTAGTAACTGCGGTTTGTAATGACGGTATCAAAGTTTGCTATGTCTGGAGTAAAAAGGATTTGGGACCTTTCGGGGGTATGTTCTTTCTTCTTACCTTTTTATTTGTTTTTGTTTTTTGTTCTCCCACTAAGGGGTTTTGAAAAAAAATATTCGGACGAAATGTTAGGAAAATCCAAACGGAAAAAAAAACGGTTTACGTTTTCTGGATGACCTTTCAAGCTGACAAACAAGTTGACAGTAGGATCGTACTGTAGTTTTACAGTACACTAGGTGTCTCATTTCAGAGGGCAAAAATTAAACCTGAGCTCGTATTTGAGGAACTAAGAGATTGATCTAGTTCCCAGTTGCTAAATACTGTGTCTCAAAATGTCACATGAGACGTTCTGCAGAGATTTAGAACAGTTGCGGACGTATCTCCTTTGAGAATATTTCTTTCTCCTCCCAGAAATGTACAAAATCCAGCGACACAAATTTCGGAGCGGTCAAGATCGATTTTTTCCCCATGTAGACGCTTTTAATACGGATGATTAAAAAAAAAAGACCAATCCCATGAATTCTGGTGTATTCTGTTCCTTCGTTTGGTTTCGATCCAAGCACAGCTCATCGCGAAAAGGAAGAAAACTTCGCCTGACCTCTGACTCTGACACCTCCTGCATGTCTCAGACTGCCGTTTTCACAGCCTGAAGACAAGGCCAACATTACAGTTTGAGTTGCGTTTTGAAATACTGGGAAAATACAGACCGTGTTAAACATCCTAATCCAAAATCTGAGGCCTTTAGAAAAGATTCCACTTTCATGCAGGTATTCCTGCTTTATTACTGTCACCCAGCTAATAAAAGCCATGTACAAGAATATCATAAGCGTTTGATGAAGGTCCAATATTATGCCATGACTAGGCACTACAGGAAGGTCCAATGATGGAAGGATGGCCATGTTGTGTGGACTGCTGTGCAGATTTTTTTATTTCCCTACATTTTATCTGATATTTAGTTTTGTATTACGTAGGCTGCAACATACAGATAGGAATATATATGCATTGTGTATGGACTGCAGCATGTCATTCCACATAAAGGCTTTGCACTGTGTCTTCCTGCTCGATATACCATAAAGGGTTTATTATTTAACACGTCTTCGTTTTAGCTCAGCACAACAATGGCCTCAGCCCTTCAGAAATGAGCAGTGTGGCTTACCACATTTCTCATTTCTCTTTAGTCTGGGTTTTGTTTTTGTTATTGACAACAACGAGGCTGCCAACGGTTTGACGAAACACAGGAACAGTTTTCCCGGTCGGAGGAGTTCAAAAAATTCTTAAATCCCCGTCGATCGGTAACCTTGGGAAGTGTTAGGAAGCCAGGGAGTGTGGGGGTGTGGTGCTGTCGTGGCTGCTGCTGTGCGATCGTTCGCTGAAGCCCCGAGAGGATATTCTGCGTTCAAACTCGTCACCAAGAGTCTTGCTTTCATCTCGGTAGGGCTGCTAAATTTGGAGGCCTAATTTCTGTCAGTTCCGCTACGGCCCTTGTTGGCCTGAAAGACACGAGCGCTAACATACTGTAGCTTTCGTGTCGTTCTTTTCTCTCTTTTTTTGGCACACTTTGATCTTCAGTGCGGTCGAAGGTGGCCCACTCAAAACACATCTTTGTGTGCCCAGTCCTGGAGATAGACAGCTGCCCACTCCGTAACCCCACTCAGTTGTCAGATTTTACTGATTTATTTTGAAGATTCTTTCAGCGACGTGGACATTTTTCTGACAGCTGGACGCCAGTTTAGGGCAGAGTTATTCTATGACACAAGCAAAGAACATTCTACAGATTCCTCTATGTAAGGGTGGCTCTGTGGCTAAGGATCTGTGCCTGTGACTGGAAGGTTGCTGGTTCAAATCCTGCAGCTGGTAGAGGAATCCTACTCTGCTAGGCCCCTGAGCAAGGCCCTTAATCCCAACTGCTCCAGGGGTACTGTACAGTTGCTGACCATGGACTCTGACCCCAGGCTTCTCTCCCTGTCTGTGTGTCTCATGGAGAACAAGCTGGGGTATGTGAAAAGATTAATTCCTAATGCAAGAAATTGTATAGGGCTAATAAAGCAACATAATTATTATACAGACTTCAGATTTTTAGGCCTTTTCCTACTGCTGAGTATGGAGTAAAGTGCTTCTCTGTTGGCCTATCACTCCCACACAACTTTCTGAATTAATCATTGCAATATGCATATTGTAAGTAACTGAGAAGAAATATCTCTGTTGATTGTCTCAAAATGAAACAATTTGTTTGCACTCATTTCCTTTTTTTTTTCTCTTTTGCATTTTAAAGTTCCCTGCTCTCAGCAGTTTTATTTCCTTTGATGATTTATCTCGCCAGCAGACTGCCTCCTGTAATGATTTTGATTCAGACTGACATTAGGAAGGTTTATTATGAGTAATCCTCCTGCAGAGATCAGCAGTTCTGTACATCTCTTATTAGGACCCTGTACCGCGCACGAGAGAGAGCCTTTCAAGAGGCAATGTGCTAAACAAAAAAAAGTCACAATCTAATCTGACCGGGATACTCCCAAACCACCAACACTCTGCAATAAACGGTCTCCAGGGTGATCGTCTGCTTCAGGCCCTGCGTTCTGCATATGTTCATGCTCCAGAAACCGCTGTGCTTTTCTGTTTTTTTCTGCTCCTGAAACAAAAGTAAGGCCTCTTTTTGTAAGGTTAGATCTCCCGAAAAATGCAGATAGCTGTCTTTAATTGTCATGGTCCACGAGAGACTTCCGGCTCCCTCTAATTCACGTTAATAAAGTTTATTGAATAACCCTGGAGGAGGGGGTAGCTCTCCCGGAGGTTTCCTGACAGGTAAATGAGGTATTTCCTCCCCCTGTGCTGTGCAGCTTATTCTACGTGTGGTACTATCTTGGTTGACATCCTACCGCTAGAGGGCGCTCTACTTCATTCCTGTTCCTAGTTCCGTGTGATTATTCATGTTCTTCCGGTGTGTCTGGTTTCCATTTCCTATTTAGTCCCTGTGTCTCCAGTGTTCCTGGCTCAGCATTAGGGTACGGATGTCGCGAGGCCCGCCTAGCACCAGGTTACCCCACGTCCGTGTCCTGAGGGCATAGGCCTCATCCCCGACACCACCTGACCCCTGACCCCTGAGCCCGGGGCAAACCTCTGTGTTTGTCCCGCTTTTGCCTTTACGCATTGCGTCTCTACTGCTCTTCTGTTCATTTCTGTCGTCCATGACAATAATTCTATGTGGAACGTGAGTGAGAGAGAAAATGTGTTTGTTTTTTTCTTGTTCTCCCGCAGCGGAGGCCACTGCTGAGCTTGTGGTGCCTGTGTTTGGAAAGGAAGGGGGGTCCGTTGAACTCCGTGGGCCCGCGGTGGACAGGGCCAGTATGAAAGAGTTCTTCTGGTATTTCATTACAGACAAAAAAGTCCGCGCTGTAAAATACAGCAATGGAGAAACTGTAATCGTTCCTCTTTTGAAAAAAAAGTATACCTTCAATAATGAATCCCTGTCGCTGACTTTGCATGATTTATCCTCCAACGACACTGGTGGCTACAGAGCTGAGAAGACGGATTTACATGGCAAACAGCACCATCTAGTGATGTACAGCCTGCAGGTGAAAGGTATACCTGGCTTGAATGTTTTGCCATTCGAAATACTACAGTTGTGGGTCCAAGCAACGTCCTAGTTAATTCACTGACCTTGGTAATGTAATTACAACTGAGGGTCAGCTTCCATCTTAGACTGGGAGCTGTACTCTCTGCTGCTTGGTGCACGATTTGTGCCCATCGGCTTCCCCTTGCTGTCTTGCAGTGCTGGGGGGGGGGGCCCCCTGGGTCAGTGCCTGGGGTGCTATCTGTGTGGAGTCTGCATGTTCTCCCCGTGCTCGCATGGGTTTTTTTCAGGGTGCTCCTCCTTCTCGTTGGGAGAGAGTTTCAGGGAGCGGGAGAAAAAAAACAACAAACACAAGCCAGAGATTGCACATGATGAAAATGCCCTTGACTTCTCGTCTCGCTCGGAAATTTCAGCTCCGGTTCCAGCACCCGTGATCCGAGCGTCCAGCACTCTCACGCCCCGGGGGGGCTGCCTCCTCACGCTGAACTGCTCCGCGGAGGGCGGGAAGGAGGTGATGCTGACCTGGAGGTGGCTGGATGACCGGATCCCGAGGGAGTCCACCAATGAGACGCTGGTGTTGCTCCTTTCTCCCGGGATCGACTCCTTCAACTGCTCAGCGAACAACAGCGTCAGCACGCGCTCCTCCGTTATCGCCAGGGAACAGTTTGAGTGCGCCGGGCGAAATCTAGGTTGGTCCGGTCAAGCCAGCTCTGAGTGCGCCAACGGCCTCAGAGTCCGAATTCCCAGAACCCTCTGAAAAACCGTTTCAGCCTCCTCAGTAGTTGGTGTTTGACGGTTGGTGTTTGACAGTGTGAGACCCTGTGGGCGATTGCTGGTGGGGGGGTGCTCTTTAGCAGAAAGGTCACTCGCTCCGTTTCCAGAGCCAGGAGCCTGGAGGTTGATGTCAGAGCCTGCCGCTGTAGGCGGAAAGACGCCAGGCTTTCTCACGCGCAGGGGTGTCCACACTTACGCTACAGAAGGGGAATAAAGAACAAAGGCCCTGGTGTGAGAGTGTGTGTGTCTGTACTTGTGTCCTCCCTGCGATGGACCAGCATCCCCTCTAGCGTGTGTCCTGCCTTGCTCCCTTTGCATGCTGGGATAGGCTGCGTCTCCCCGGCGACCCCGAATTGGAGGAAGCTCTTAGAAAATGGATGGATGGAATGTCAACCCCGAAACCGACTGCAGAAGCAGCGATTCCAGTAATGATATCTGATGTTTCTCAGAACAGTGAAAACGAGTAGGTTTTGTACCAACTCATGCGACCAGATCTCAGTAAGGTCACTGTAATGATATCTCCATTACCTGTAAGGCACTTTGAGTGGAGTGTTCAGAAAAGTTATACGAGTGTAAGGATTTGCCAGGATTTGGCAGTGGTAGTGAACAGTGGAAAGGACACCCTCTGGAGGGTGAGGAATATGGGGGGTGTTTAAAGGCATGGAGATCATAGACAAGGGATCGGGTAGCCTGGTAACAGACAGCTTTTACCTCAGAGGCTTTGTACTCTTATCTAGCTGGGTGCATATATATTGTTTTGGGTATATATAATATTGTACAGGATATCTTTTGTAATTTTCTTTATTTGTGAAAAGAAATGTAAGTGTAAGGATTACAGCCGTACCTCTTTTAACGAACGGTATTCATTCACAGCCTTCCGTACAGCGAAAATTCGTAAAAAGGGGGAAAAAAAACTATTTCTATTAATTCTTAGAGGAAAAAAATTACAATCCATTCCGGACCCCAAAAATGTCACCCCTCCTACTTTTTGTCACCAATAAAAATGACGAAAGAAACAATAACGACTGACATTCATACTGTGGTTTGTCTTTTTAGTCAGGCATCATTAATCACACCTACGTACAGTGCCGTACCGTAACCAGTTCGTTTGCTTTCTGTGTGGTACCACACACACACTCCATTTCCAATTGTCTTTAACACCGTTTAGGGCCCACGATAAAGTCCGAACCCCAGATATTGTCACGAAAAGAGCGCGCACAACAGCGAACAACGCACGAAGAAAGACGAGGTGAACGGCTTCACCCCGCGGGCTCGGTGCTCGGTGCTCGCTGTCGCCCGTACTAGTTACTGTTACAGGAATGTGAGGCGGCCTTTCTATATGAAACGAGTCGTACGACGCCTCCGCGCCTCGAACTTTTTCGTCGAATCGCTTCTTCGTAGCTGCGCGGTTGGTTTTCGGTGTACGAAACGTCTGTACCAAACTCACCTGCTTCGTAGTGTCGAATTTTTCATCAATAAACATTCGGAAAAAGAGGTACGCTTGTATTTATTTATGTATCGGTGTGTGGTCAATTGTCGTACTGCCATTTGCAAAGACATTGTTCGCTGACTGAGAAACAGGATAAGAAGCCATCTCCTCTTTAATATTTTTCTTTTTCCTGTGGGGATTTTTTTTTTCCAGAATTGAGCGCAGTCATCGGGAGTTCCGCCCTGTTCCTGATCTTGTTGCTGGCAGTCTCCGGGGTTTTTTACGGCAGAAAGGTGTGCAAAAAGCAAGACGGAGGTAACAGGTTTGGTTTTTTCCCCTCGTTGCTTGACAGTGCTTCTGCCGGGCTGGAGATTTCCCTCCCATCCTTCCTCTTTCATTTTTTGCTCGGTGTCACCTGCGTAGGACGGGATCTGAGCCTGTCGTTTCTGCAGATCATCAGAGACACTTCTGATTTCCGTCTTTTTGAAAGGCTTTTGCCCAAGATTTCTTGGCACGACGTGTCCATCGTGTAGGAGCTCTGCCTCACGGCTGACAAACACTGTGATGGGAAACTGGGCCTGTACAGTATATCTTCTGCCGAGGGGCATAAGAACATTTAAAAAATTACAAACAAGAGGAGGGATTTCAGTCCGTCTAGCTTGTTTGGTCGTTAGTAATTAGCTGATGCAAGAAACTCATCAGGGCCTTTCTTGAAAGAAAGGAGATCTGCTTCAATAACTGTGGCTGGGTAGCTTGTGCCAGACTCCCATTACCCTTTTTCTCTGTTTATTTTACCCCCTTCATCTCAATTTAAAGGCACCTCCCTGTCATTTCTCGAGTTTGTCATTTCCCTGTTGAGGAAAACAAGCGTAGCACTCCAGGGTCCATGTGGGTATGCGTCCTAGCCTCTGCTGCCTCAGGTCAGCCCCCCACTGTCGGGGACTCAAACCCAGGCCCCCGGCAGCACTCAACAGGGACCCAGCCTCTTGAGCCAAAGGGAAATCTCCCATCAGCCCAGCGGCTGTGGTTCCTGCTATCCACAGGGAAGGGCGGTGACGTCACCGAGCGTTACACAAGGTTTTTCACCCCGGCATTCTGCCTCTGAGGTTGGATTTGCTGAATTAAAGGTTCTGGACTTAGAGCAGGGACAGACGTGAAGCTCACCTGTAGTTGATCATGTAAAACAGGACTGGAACATGAATGGTGGTGCAGTGGCTGGCATTGGTCTGGGGCCCTGGGTTCAATTCCAGACCCGGGCAGCTATATACAGGAAGTGGGTCTTGTATGTTCCCCTCTCTAGTTCTGTGGGTTCCCTCCCACAGTCCAAAGACATAGTAGAGGGTTAATTTGCTTCTATAACATCGGGTTGAAGACGTTCAAGTAGCTCCACCGTGGATTATTGGATAAAGCAATTTGGAAATGGATGGATGAATGGCACTGCAGAAGCTGCGATTCGAGAAATGGTATCTAATGTTTCTCAGAATAGTGAAGAATAGAAAGGTGTCGAAGTATTGTGTTGTGCCGACTCAGGTGACCTGATCTCCTTGAGGTCACATAATGAAACCCAAGTATCAGTGAGGGTTCGGTTGCCATGGATGTGTGATCGGTTGCCATGGATGTGTGTTTGGTTGCCATGGATGTGTGATCACTGGCAAAGGATGTGTGTTCGGTCCCCATGTATGTGTATTTGGTTGCCATGGATATGCTGGATGGGCCCAAGGTTTGCACAGACGAGAAGAAACATGCCTGCCCGAGCGATGTCACCAGTGGGTACTTTCTTTATAGATACCATTTACGAGAACGTGAATAAGGAGGAGGTGAGCAGCAGGGCCCCAGTGCTCACCCTCTACGACACCGTGGACCCCCGCATCTGCACCAGAGAACTCGCGCCCGGCGTGGCCACTCTGTACGCCACGGCTGACACGGTCACCAAGTTCAACAACTTCAAGGAGTTCACCAACAAGAAGAGCCCCACCTACTCGGTGGTGAACCACAATGCCTGCGTCCCACCCACGAACCCGGAGAGCATCTACGCCACCGTTAAAGCCCCGGCTGCGGACATCAGCTACAAGCGACT